CGACAGTGACGGAAATGAGATACCAAGTGCGCAAGAATAAGCGAATGCGGCTAGGCAAAGTGCCGAAGTTGCTGCTGTCCAAGAGAGGGGCAAAAAGGAAAAAGAAAAGCAAAAATAAAAACAAAAAATAAAAAAAGCAAGAAGATGGTGGGCCGTGAGGGACAAGGCACAATCACGCCCCTGCCCAAGCCAGCCAACCAAGTGACATGCCGTGCCCCCTCGCCAACGGCCGTGTAAGTGGGCACGGCCTGGACAAAAAAGTCCGGACCGCAAATTTTTTCCCCACCACCACAAAAAAAGGAGCCCATTCAATCTGCAATTATTTTACCCTTTGCATTTATAAAAAGCGAAAAACGTTATTGTAGCTATAAGTAATGCTTTTTGCATTAAGATAATCACAAATCCCTTGAACGCGTGTTTTTTTTAGGTGTAGAATGCGGCGCGGGCATGTTGTTTGGCTTTGGTGCTGGTGCAATTGTGTTGGGAGAGGTAGAGTTTAGGTGGAGAAAAAAATTGCGGTCCGGACTTTTTTGTCCAGACCGTGGTGGGTTCCGCAGAGGACAGCGACAATCACAGGGATAGTTGGTAAGCAGCTGCAACAACAATGACTCCTGGAATCAAGTGGATTCTCTCTTTGTCCAGCCAGCGCAGCAGTGCCGGACACCAAATTGCGGCCGGCGAGCCGCCACCAGACGCAGGCCGATTCGGACGCGCGCGAACCCAAGGATGGCGGGCCCGGAGCCGCAATGACGATTCGCCGTTGCCAGTGGTGACGCCCGCTCTATGTATAGACGACCACGTCCACGCGGAGGAGCAGTCCGTGTGAGTGCCAATGTACGCACAATAATGTTTAGATTATGGAAACGAGTACTGTAAATTTATCCTAGCTGCTCCAACCGGACACAGCCGACAGGGACGAAATAATGTCATATAACCCTAATGACATTAGTCTTGGGCTCCAAGAGCAATGTTGGTCATTGATAGCTGCCTGAATAACGAGTCCGGATCGGAAATGCCGCCTGTTAGCAGGAATAGAACACCGGGATAAAAATATAGTAGGTTATAAAATCCTGAGAACTGTTTTGTCAGATGCAGTCTTGATACTCGAAGAGCGATCTAGCCAAGGCACTCACGGTTGATCTGTTCGCACAGGCTAGGCCTGTCAAGTGACCTCCTCTCCATCACGGCGCCGCGGGTTTATCCCCTCTCGTCAACGGCAGAAACGAGGGAGGCGACAAGTTCCAGGCAAGAAACTAAAGACGATCCGGGCCACGATGACGACCCTTACCTCAGCATATTCATCGACAGAATTAAGCGGTTTGCCTTGACGGAACTCGAGGGTGTTGACGAGCCAGGTGCCGGTCACGAGGATACTGATAGCACCAGAGAGGGGATCTCCAGCAAGCCCCGGTTCGGCGACTTGTCATTCTACGGTGTTGGGAGAGAGAAGAGAAACAGCTTGTGGGAACTAGAAGCGCGGCGGCTTACTAAGGCAGCGCGAGGGCCTGTATCAGGCATAGTATTTCACACACAACACTGCCCTAGCCTCCAACAGGCGGTCGGAGCTGCGGATACGATCAACCTTGGTTGCAAATATGCATTCTGGACGATCAAATGGTCTTGCACAATTACCACAAGCAGTGTTATGAACGAAATCGGTCGTCGCGGAGCTACATCATGTTGCAGAACCGTTCGCGCGGCTCGTATGGCCTCCCGGGCTGGACTGGGGGACCAGATCACATTACATATAACGCTGTGCCAGGCTGGGAAGCCTCGCGAGCACGAGATGATGTAATGAGAGATGCTGTGAACGTTCAAGTAAGGGTGATGGACAGGAGAGGGTGTCACAAGGAGACGCCTGCTCAGCCAATTATTTCCGATGCTGTCGACACTCAGCCGGAGATGGTCAAGCCAGAACAATCCGCGTTGATGCATTCGGAGGAGGACTATGGAACTAGGATAGATCCAGAGGCAAGTCCATCCCAGCCTGGAGTTAGGGACATTGTTGACTGATATCACATATTGCTCAGGTAGAAGATACCACAGGACAGGAACCGCCCAAACCACGGCCCAAAAGAAAAACGGTCGCCATCGACATAGCGTCGCTGCCAACACCAGAGGCTCCAACCCCGCCGGCAGCAAATGACGGTATCGGGCAGGTCAGCAATCTCCGACAGCACTATGCTTTTGTCGACCACCTGACTGCCGTCATGGCCCGTGTCGCCACGCACTGCATCAACAGCTCCTACTGGCGGGCCGCCGTGCTGGCAGTACTGGCCGAGCTCTCGACCAAGCTCAAGATTGTCGCCATCGACCTCCCGGGCAATGTCGAGTCGTGCCTGCGCCGGAACGGCTTCAGGCTGAGGCTAGAGGGGTCTTCTTACGGCCACGACCTAAATGAGGCGACAGCGGCTGAGGTGGAGTGGCGGTTCCCGCCGGTCGGCGACAACGACACGGTGGCGTCGCGGTACAGCGTTGAAAACTCCGTCGTCGGCCGCTGGCTACAAGACTGTCTGGCGCAGATTCTGACCGAGCTCAGCGGGGGGCGCGGCGGCCGCCGCCACCAACAACAACAACCACTGCATTTGCATGAGGCAGAGCTCGACGTCTCGGTCCTGGTGTTCCGCGCGGGCGCCAATGCCGTGCCGACTCTGGTGCAGCAGGACCTCCAGGGCAATGTGGGCGGCGCGAGCGAACGGCTGGGCTTGGTGTTGACGAAGGAGGCCATAGAGCTCGCGATCGGCGTGGGGGCCGAGCTGGGGGAAGACAGTGCAGCAGCAGCAGCAGCAGCACCCCCAGCTTGCTGAGACGGTGAAGCACCCGCTGGGCGAGGCGAGGCTAGGCGTCTGTGTGGAGAGATGGGGCAAGGAGGGCGAGCTGGACGCCAGGCATGGGATCGAGGTCGAGAGGCACGAGGTGGCGATCACGGATGCTGCCGGGCTTGTGACGGTGCTCGCCCCGCTCGCGCTCGCTCAGCCGGCCCTGGGACGCCAGTTCAGGATGCTCCTGCAGGAAATGAGCGCGCTCAACGCCTTTGGCGAGCTGAGCCCACCTGCGCTTGACTTCACGGCGCTGATCAGCCTTCAGTCGGGCCAGCACCCCAGGACCGAGTCGGAAGACTCGGGTGACCCCTTGCGGATGTCAAAGTCGCCTTTGCGAGCAGGGGAACAAAACGAGCCGGACGCGGTGCCTTTGTCGCGCTCTCTTCTCGCACAAAACCGACTCCACGCCCTCCTTCGATCTAGTGCCAACGACTTCCGCTCCTCCCGTTCCGCCGGCGAGGAAGCTGTGAAGCAGACCATTCGAGACGCTACAGAGAACCTAGAAGCGATCAGAGACGCGTCCTCGACGTGGGTCATTGAAGAAACGGCCGTCATTGTCAAGTGTCCCGTCTATGTCTGGACCACAGTCTTCCTGTGCTTCGTCCTCGTTGCTGGAGGCATGACGATTGGCTTCCTGGTCGGGGATCGAATCGCTGGCGTTGACCCGTTCGGCATCACCAGCATGGACGCCCAGGACATCATCATGTTTTTGTTGTCCACGCAGACCCAGAATAAGCTGGTGACCCGCGGACCGTTTAACAGGCCGTTCAAGAGCGCTGCTGAGACCGGCTTTTCTATCGATGTCCAACCAGAGCTTCGGACTTTGATGGCATGCGGCCTGGTCCCTGTCAAAGTCGCCACGCTTCAGGGACCGCACCTGGTGTTCTTGGACCTGATGCCGGAAGCTGGGAATCGCTTGACAGTTATTGACCACTCACGGCGGAGTTTGAGGACGGGTGAGTCTTTCCTGGGATTCGCAATCCCTCCAGACCCCAGGTCTGCTAGTGATGAGAAACTACAGAGGTACAGCAGCTTGGCGTGGGTCAAGGTTCTCGGGCTATACACTCCGAGAGGATAAATATTTTTCCTCCACCTGACAATATAGTTATCTAGGGAGGCACGGGAAGTAAGCTATAGCACACCTTCCAAGTAAGCTACAGAAAAGGTTCCAGGTTGGAACCGGACCGAGATGCCGATGCGCCAGCCCAAGATCTGCTCCAGACGAGACTATTCATATTTCAATCTGGCCAAAAGAGATTACATTGCGGCGATGCTCATCAGCCTGCCGCCCTTTCGTATCCCAACATAACACCGCACGTCGCATCATATTGGTATATGAGCAAAAGGATGAACAAAAGAAATCCAAGGGGGTATATTGACCTGCCAACAATAACAACATCCAGAGCATAAAAAAAAAATATAAAAAAAAATATAAAAAAAAACATGAGTGAAAAGAAAACATGAAGCCGGCCTAAGTCGCACTCGGGCGGAGCGTCTTCTCAATCTTGACGAGAAGCCTGCCCTCGGTGCGCTTGCCGGTGGGGCCGAGCAGGTCGAGGAATCTGTATCCCGGCAGGAGACGGTCGAGGCGGTAGCAGGCCCACGACGAGAGGGTGCTGTCGTCCTCGATCCTGAAGCGCAGGAAGCTGAGCTCCTGGGCCACGTTGGCCACGTCCTTGAACACGACCGAGTCGCCCTCGGGCCCCCAGTCCGGGTGGCTGGTGCCCTTGGTCTTGAGGTCGTCCTTGAGCGGGTCGGACCGGCCCTCGACGTGGAGGGCGACCTTGACGTGCGCGTCGAACGAGGTCTCGGTCTTGCCCTTGATGGGCGGTATGTTTTGGCCGGCGAAGACTGTGACCTTGAGCTGCATGATGGTCACCAGCTCCTTCTCGTCCATGGTGCCGTCGCCGCCGCGCAGGGCCGGCGGCTTCAGGACCCAGCCCTCGGTGCCGGCAAACATGGCGTGGTTGAGCATCATGTTGCTGTCGAGCGTCTGCCAGTTCATAGCCACCATCTGCACGCCCTTCCGCCAGCAGGCCGCCGGGTCCATGTTGCCGCTGTCGACGCGCGCGACGGGGTCCGGGTACGCGCGCATGAGGTACTGCCGGTTGTGCGCCGCTATCGCCTTGGCGTCCAGGTCGCGGATCCTGTTCTCCTGCAGGCTAAATATGTGCGAAGGCGTCTTGCATACACGGTCGTTGAAGCCGTGAAAGTGCTTGCTGTGCGTGTACACCGCCAGCCTGCTCAGGTTCTTGGAAATCAGAGGCCTGTTCCCTGTGGCGCCCGAGGTGGCGGTTCCCGAGGCGGCGGCGGTCCCCTCGTCGTCGGAGCTGGAGGCGGCGGCGCAGCCCGGCGACAGCCCCAGACTCTTCTGCTCTTCCTTTTTCAGCTTCTGCAGTGGAATCCCCAACGAGTCGGCCGTTCCGTTGTGGTCGTCGAGGACCGAGGCCTTCTTGGCCTTGATCAGTATCTTGTCTTTCAGCTCGTCCAGTCGAGGCAGGCGCAGGCGCGGGTCGCAGCCGATGAACTGTTCGTCCAACAGGCGCTCGCCCCATTCCTCGCGCATGATCTTCACCATGACGTCCTGCTGTTGACAGTCGGCGTGTACCTCGAGGCTGATGATGATGGGCAGGTGGTTGGTGGCGAAGGCGGACTTGCCGATGGCGCGACACACGTCGCGAAAGCCGACGTATCTGCTCTGCAGCGTGTAGTCGCGCTGCATATACGTGTGCGCGTGCATCACGACCGGCTCCGCCGATGGATTCGTTTGCGACTGGGACCGCGCCCTGGTCAGCCGTGTCTCTTCCTCGGACAGCGCACCGCCGGTCCCCGAGACCGGTGCGGGGCCGACGTCACTGTTCAGCGCCGCCTGGCTACCCCCCGGCGAGGGCGAGGGGACGGCCAAGTTATTTGCCCCTCCGCTCATTGTCCGGTGGTGGGAAATGGATTTGCCCAAAAGCATGCTTGTGACCTCCTCGATGGCAGATGCGACAGACGAGGTCGACCGGTGCCGCTGCGTTTCCGGGTGCGGCGATCGGGACCGGCTGGGGCTCACACTCGGGTTGTTCCAGACGTCTATTTCTATACAGCGACATCCGTGTTCCAGGGTCTTACGGGAAGGCATGACTAGTTAGTCTGGGCACCGAACCTGGGGAAATGGAGCATGCAGGCTCTCGGATATAGGATATACATGCCGTCGAGTACGCTTCCACCGAGCTGTCCGACGTCAGCTGGTTCCCCAGGAGGTATGTGTTGTGGCTGCTGTTGATGAAGTAGTGGCTGATGGGCTTGCACTGGTCCTCGGGGTCTGGAATGACCTTGCGCAGCGGGCCGAGACGGTACTGGTACCACCACACCTCGAAGAACTGCTGGAAAGTGTACGTCTCTCTGTCGAGAGGGTGCACCATGGTCTCCCCCTGGACCTGGACGAGAAAGTCGGCGAAGCGGTCCTTGGACAGCAACGACTGGCCGGGTGCGCACAAGTCCTTGTGTATGCGCACGATGTGAGACTGGAAGGCGGCGCAGACGGTCATGGTGGGCTCGACGGCGCTGTCGATGTGGTCCGGATCGCTGTGCTTGTGGAAGCCGCCTTGGGTGGGCGAGATGATTGTCGACATGTCAATCATGTGTTTTATCGCGCCGCCGTTCAGGCCGTGCTTGTGCTTACTCCCAAAAGTCGACATCCTGCTGAGGAGGGAGGGCCTGGCGGACTTGTTGGTCCTCCTACCCTTCTTCCTCCACTCACGCACTTTTTGGGGGATCTGGGAAGTGTGCCGAGGCCGAATATTAGCCTACGGATTCTCGTTTGCTCCGTCTCTCCAACGGCTTTGGTCTCTAAACAGGCCGACGCCTTCTCCCTGCTATTTACTCGTGGCCGACGGCGGGCATTCGCTGATGCTGCTCTGGCAATGACACCTGACGACTACAATGAAATAAAGGGTGAGACTCAGGGACGAGGCTCGACAGGACTCGACTCACGGCGAAGCACATGGTGGAGCGATGACGACCACAGCTGAAGACAGGCGGGGCGGCAGCTCGCTCCGGCTGCGGTGGGTAGCTAGGCGTCTCGCGCGCAGGGGGGCAGTCGAGTCGAGCGGGGGATTCAATGTCGTGCGAGTCCCCGCGTGCTCTCAAGTGAGCTCCTCGGCGTCGACTCTCGGAACCATCACAGGCTGCGACGAGGATGGAGCAGCGAGAGAAAAGGCGGAAAAGGGAAGGGAAGACGTCAAAACGAAGGCGCGGGTTGAGCGGATCGTAAAAGAAGGCCGGGTTCCTGGTAAAAAGAGCAAAGGAAAAACCACAGGGCGTGCGAGCGCGTCAGCAAGCGGCCAACAGCGGCCCCTGGCAGAGTTCCTTCAGTCGCTCTGGGCGTTCAGCCGCAGCTCCACGCAGTCAGACAGGCCAAGCCGCAGCCTCACCAAAAGCGCAGGCAACCAGGAAAGAGATGCTACCACGTCTGCCGCCCGCGGGCTGGAGATGGAGAGTATGGGCTGGCACCGGCATTGGGGCGGTGCACCGCTTCTCGCAGGGCTGGCTGGCGCGCTGGCACGCTGGCCCACCACGAGTGGCCGAGGGAGCCAACGCGTCGGATTGGCCCTTGTTTGCTGGCGTTTGAGAGTGCTTGTGTCGCCAACAATGCGAGCACCGCCGCCCACGCCTCCCTATCCTGGTTTCGACCTAGACGGGGCTTCGCTGGTCGGGCTGCTAATCTCAATGGGAGCTAGGCCCGGGACTCGTACCACCACGGCCGAATCAGCGCCTGGCCCGCAGCCCGACTCCGACTCCGACTCCTCCTCTTGTCCTCCCCCTTCCCTAGCATAGGCCACCCGCGCGTCTGACAGGGCCCCACAGCTGGGTGAGGCGGAGCCCAGCTGCATTGATTGCCCGATGATTGATCCATTGATGATTGATCCATTGATGATTGATTAACTGACCAACAACGCCCGGGCTCTCGTCGCTTCCTCCCCAGCGGGCTGGTCCGGCCGAGTAAGTCGGCCAGGGCGGGCCGGCGGCTACTGTAGCTAAGGACGGGGATCCCCGCCAGGATGCACGCGTCTCCACGTTTGATTGCGGCTCTGACCAGGGCGACAGCCCGGCTTATCCAAGGCAGAGGTCGCGAGTTGAGCAGGCGTGAAATAATGCGAGGAATTGGGCATTATGCTGCTCGCCTCGACTCTGTAGGAGTTGGCCGTGTCCTCCACGATGGGTGCTCCACTCAGCCAGCCGCCACCCACCTCCCCACATCCCGTATTGAATCACAACACCGTTCGTCAGCCACGAACGGCCCGTGCGCTCAACCCAGCTATGCTCGGCTGGTGTTACCAACCAGGCCCAACCAAGCCTCAACAACAACAAACCTAAATGGCTCGTCGAGAGAAAGAGGAAGAGGTCAGGTCGTGGGGGTTCTCCCACGTCTTTACCTGGGCCGACGGACCGTACGTTGACTAGCCCAGTTGGTCCAGTCTCCCTGCCGCCCCTTCCCAAGAGCTCACTGGACGAAGATCTTCATATCACACGTCTCACCCAGCGCGCCGCATCTAGAAATGCCTACTACAGCCCGCACACCCACAACGGCCTCACCACCCACCTCATTCTCAAAGGCCAGCTCACCATCATGTACCCCGGGGATGACGCGCCAGAGAAGGAGACGTTCGGGGTAGGGTCTCGTATCGACGTTGATGCCGGGCGCGTCCACGAGGTCTGGATCGGAGACGGGGGCTGCACGTACGTTATTGGCGAGAAATGAGGAATCCGGTAGCTTTGTGCTAGGTCTGGAGCAGGTCTGGACACGGCAGGTCTCGTGGAGCCGTGATAGGTATCCCACGTGCCCGCCTATATCCGAGGCGGTTCCAACCCGTCCGGACTTCATCCCAACTTCGACGAGGGAACGGCTTCACGCCTGGGCCCCACGGTAGTTATAAGATCAACTTCATCTGGGTCACCGGGTCACGCCAACCCAAACCAACCCCCTTTCCTGTTACTTGGTCTCCCCTGTCCATGGTCAGCCATCCGCCATCGTGTCGGGCTGGCCAGACGGGCTCACATAGAGTATTCTTTTTGTTTCGTTTCGCCTCTCCCGGTCTCGGACCTGGCATAGACTGAAGACGGAGATCCTGTCGGGAAATCCGCGGCTTCTATGATTGCCTTGTCCATTCCAGCCACCCGCTGTCCGCAACCGGGCTGATCCGGAACATGGGAAAAGAGAAAGTGATGCCACCCGGTTGAGGGCGAGACCTCGAGTCAAAGCCGCCATCCAGACGAATGGGCCTCGGCTTTGTGGTAACTGACAAACACATGGTTTTCCCAAGGGCAGACCATGCGGGCTGCGATGGTGCGCCTCTTGAACCGCTGAGTCCGTTTCGTTCGGACGAGGCTTGACAGCAGCGCTTGAAACGCATGCACATGGAAGGGCCGATACGACCACAGCAACACTACGAAAGGAGGTGGCGAACACCTGTGCGTATGATGTGTGTTCGAGCGAGGATATACCGAGATCCAACGGCGACTAGATACGGCAGTCACCACCTCCCATCTGCATAGTGCCGGGTAGTAAGATGGAGGGGATCATTTGCGCATCAATCGGCCCTTGGCGGCTGCAGGGCATCCGTAACGCCTCGTGCCTCGAGCGGAACCACACCGGATTTCCCTCGCCCGACAAAAGCGGCCGTCTCTCTATGTCTGCCTGCTTGCCACGGGTAGGGCGGCTGCGGGTAAAAAGTAGAGGTATAACACGGGACGCAGGTAATTACGACGGACGCATCTCCCCACGAGCCCGCCCGCCTGCGCATGTGACCTGCCCGCCCGCCTGCGCATGTGACCTGCAGCGACACACACGCACACACACACACACACACACACACACACACACACACACACACACACACACAACCTCATAGTCTCGTTGGGTAGCGGCCTGGCCCGCCCAGGGACCGCCGATGACGCCACCGCGTGGGCCACGGCTCTCTCCTGGACGGGGCCCCTGGCGAGTGTTTCTAGATGCCGTTTCGATAGAAGGCTGTCTCGAACGGTAACTAGCGGAACGCAATTGGCTGAAAAGTCCAGACGGAGGGAGAGAGGGTGAGAGAAGGACGGAAAAGAAAAGGGAAGGCCGGGGGTCACAGGCGCTCGAGATTGGAAGTCTCCATCCCATCCCCCCGTCTCATCCCATCTCCCCCCGTCTCATCCATCCCATGGCGATTTGCAAAACTGCCATCGGCGTGGCCGCATCGTTACAACACGGTAGGCTCGGAGAATTAAGGTCCTCTCCCGGAGGAGAGGGGCTAGTAAAATTGCGCCGGCTTATTCCACCCACGGAAGCCTCCTTTGCTCCAGACCTTGCCTTGTTAGTCTGGTGGCTTGGTACCGGGACGTTCCCGAGTAAGTTTCTTGTTGGAGGCGATCGGCGTCATCTCTCTCATAGTTTTCTGTCACTTCAGACCGGTCGTGATGGGCAAGACAAGCGAGTCGGCGAGCCTGTCTGTCCTGGGAGTGATCATGTTAATTTGTGGACCAACCGGTGGGAACAAGGGGACCCCCATCCCTTCGGACATTTTCCTCCTACGGTAGCCGGGGAGCCGACGGCGACGACGTCGTCGAGACGTGGGGAGAACGGGAACACGACATGGCTCGCAATATCGAAAAACAAGGCACGGGAACGGCCCAGGAGGTGGGCTCGTACCGTCCTGTTTCTGGACTGCTACAGGGCGCAGGAGACGGCAGTCCAGTGTTTTCTGCACATCTCGCTTACATTGTGGCCTGATCAAGAACATGAAGGCAGGTTTGAAGAGAGATGACCACACACGGCCAGAAGGTGAAAAAAAAAAACCCCCAGTTGGGAATCCTTCGGATAGCCTCAACCGTGCGTGTGGCGCTGGCTCCTCCAATGATGGGATCGCGTCCGTATTAGAGGTCCCTGGGCGACAAGGCGCTGAAACCAGGATCACGAGATGGGAGGAGCACCGGATGACGTCCTCGACTGCGGGGAGAGAGAGACAAGACAAGCAACAGCACGCCACGCAGGTTGCGGCTCCTGCCAACCTCCTCAATCGAAAATCAAGGCGCGGCATCCATTCCAAAGTGGGGTGAGGCCCGGGTGCAACGCTTAAGTTGGCCGATATCCGGATCGAAAAAAGGACTGCTTTTCAATCTGTGATAATCTGGTACTGGTGGTTGGTCTGCTGGAGCTTTTCCCTGTTTCCAAAAGGCCGCGATACTCGATTGGGCGCTTCCGGTGCGTCCACTGTGGGCGAAGATTTGGACCAATGCTACGCCAGCAAGGGAGGCCAGATCTCGATTAGGGGATGGTTCAAGGTTGACATTGCCGATTGTTTGGTTCAATGTCTGTGTCCCGTCTTTTCTTTTTGCTTTCTTTCTGCCCTCTCTCTTGCGGACGTTGCAGTTGCACAGCGGCAGGCAGAACCTGCACCGCTCAATTACTCGCGTGAATACCGGTTCTGAAACGCAGCCCTTTTCTTCACCGACCCCTTCTTCCCTTCCCTGACTTCAGCCGGCAGGGTTTGTCAGTTGCGCCCGCTCTGGGAATTCTTTTTTTGGCCTTGACCTTTGGCGGCCCCCAGGCTTGATCGCGACAGGCTGACGGGGTCCCCACATTTGACAAAATTGTGGCGTCGCGGGCTGCAACACTAATCAAGCAACGCAGAAATCTCTAAATCAATAGCAGCGCCGATTAATGACGGGTCAGACACTGTGACAAACCACCCCCCAGCGGCCGTGTCATCCCCCATCCCCAGCCCGTCCCCAGGCTTGCTACATCTTTCTTTCTTTTTTCTTCTTTTCTTTTCTTTTTTCTTTTTTTCTTTTCTTTTTTTTTTTGTTTGTTTGCCGAGTGCAGCAGCATGTGCCGCGCATCCAACGCCCGCTCCGTCTCCATTCTTCGTGTTTGCTGGTCCAACGGTCCAAGTGAGCGCAGCTTGCATGTCTGCCGTGTGCTATGTCCGTCGGATCGCGTCCATTGTCCATGGTGCCGTGTCCGCCAAGTTATCGGCCCTTCCCCCTCGTCAATGGGAAACCCCCTCTATCCCTCGTTCTTGGTCCTTCTTCCCCTCTTTGTGTTGCTGCGTGCCCGGGACTGTATGCATGCAGCACTGCTGCCGCATGGATGGCTCGTCCCGAGTCGCCGAGGAGGGGGCGGCTTGGGGGTGTCTAGACGCGGGCTTGCGGGCCACTCCGCACGCCTGACTGGCCTTTCGGGCCTATGAGTGGAAGGCCAGGCCACAGGGATCAAACACGACGGGAGAGTCAAAAAGATTGAAGCACGGAAAATCAAAACAATGTTCATCTGGAAGTCTCGTTGACGGAGCTGTCTGTGGCCTCTTGGCTGCTGGATCGTCAGGGCCACTGCGAAGCTGCTTAGTTTGAGGTACTGTGCAGGCGCTGGCGGTGCCGGGGCCATGCTAGCACGCTATCCTGGCTTGCCTGGGCCTGTCCAGCAGCACAGACAAGCCAAAAATCCCTAACTCGCAACTCAGTGTCATTCAAGCTCGACCCCTGACCCCTGGCCCACCCCTGACGGGGGAAGGTACCCAGGAGCCCGCACGAAAACTGCATGCAGTGAGGCGTACCTTCCAAGTTTTACAGTGAATGCCCTCTGACCAGTGGCAGATGTTTCCCCTTATGCCCCGGGCGAGAAGGCCTTCACACCCTTCCGTTTCTGTCGCACCACATTCCACGCCCGTGATCCCAACCCGTGATCCCAACGCACGTCAGTAATACCTCCACCTACGCAATCCTGGCCTGGCGTGCCTGGCCTTGTCTGCTGCAAGTCTCAGCTTTTACCGCCCATCACCGTCTTCGGTCTGACTGCCACCGAATGTCGGTCTGTTGGGGACCTGGGGGTGCTCGTGCTCGCGCTCGTCCAGTAGCAGCAGCAGCAGCAGCAACAGCAGCAGCAACAACAGCCAACGCATCCAAGCCTCCTCTACGGCCTGTCCAGTCCAGTACCTCGCTGTGTTTTAGCTGCACCATCCTCGGCGGGCCCGGCACGGAGGCGCTGGCGAGGACCACCCGCTGAACAGAGCAAGGAACTCGGCAGCCATTGCCACCCTAAGCAAACCCCCCTGCCGCCTCCTCCACCCCCGACGCCTATCCGGCCGACGCGCCCAGCTAATTACAGCAGTGTCCGGCTGGGTCCTCCTCCTCCTCCATCCACGGCTCCATTGTATTGTCGATGCAGGCTCCATAACTACAGCCGCACCACCCACTCGGTCCTGTCTGGGCAAGCAGGCTGGCCTCTGCTCAGACCCTCGCCTTTCACTTCTCCTCCACTCCCTCCATTCCTCCTCCCCCAGTCCGGCATCCTGGTATATACCGACCTGACTGCCCAGTCAGCGAGGTATTCTCCCTGGGGTGCGGCTGTTCCTTTCTTTCTAACCCATCACTCGTTTCCTTCTTTCATCCTCTCTCGGAAGCATTGAGGACTGCACATGAGCCCGGGCGTCTCCCCTCGCCTTGGGACCCTATCAGACGCGGCTGTTGGATCTACGGGACGGATTTGCGGCATGGCAGTTTCAACTTCTGCATAGTGCAATCTCAAGCCGCCCCTTCGCGCGGCCACACCGCCGCTCCCCGCACGCGCTGACTATGGGCAACGTAAACTCGGCCGAGGCTCCCAGGAGAGTCGCTCCTGCGTCGAATAAACTGGTCAAGCCCCGGATGACTAGCGTTGCCGCACCCCGCCTGCCAAACCTCAACGCCAGCCAACCCAGTTGCGACGACGCCCTCCCCTCTTCTCCCGGTCTGGTGCGCGGCCGCCCCTTCTCGTCCTCTCACCCGTTCAGCGTGCCACCTCTATCGCCCTCGGTTCCGTTCCCTCAGCTTGACGTCGACTTCTCGCCCTATCTTGATCCGCTCGACGACGACATCGACTACGCGAGCGCCTCGATGGTCGCCGAACCCATCAAGAAAGAAAGGAGCCTGCGCAGGATCTTCCGCTCGAGATCGTCCTCGACAGCACAGCCGAGTCGCAGGGGGAGTCCGGAGAGGAGAAATACCACCGCTGCGGCGGCCGCAGCGCCATTACCACCCCTCGAAGGGCAGGGTGTTGCGCCACCTACCAGGTGCAACTCCATGCTGGGAGCCAGTGATGCTTTGTACCGTGACCAGTCGACTACGGATAGGTTCGCTTTTCCCCGATTATTGGAGACCCCTCTGTATGCCCACGGCCTTGGCGCCTTGGTGCTCCTCTGCTTACAACCAAGAACCTCACAGTTGGAACATTGCCGACTCCCGTGTCTCGTGGAACTACAATCTCACGTCCTACGAAGCCAAACGCCTGCTCAACCTCGCACAAGGGGACGCCACCGGTATACAAGATGAGATCTCGGCGGCAGTATCGGAGAATAAATTCTCGGTGGTCTCCGAGGTGACGTGGAAGAGCTCGCACCCACCCCTGACCGAGACCGCCGCCAGCGTGGCCCTCAGCCGAGCGAATTCAGATCTCTCCCTGTACACTCCTGTTCGAAGGCGCTCCGTCATCCAGACGCCTGGCCTGGCCACTCGAAGGAGTGCCAGCAGGCCCCCACTCAGCAGCCAACGTTACAGCCACCCACCCACACCGAGCCTGTCGCGGCAGGCTTCCTCTGACTCTGTCGGCAGCCGTGTACTGTCGATGCCGCCCCTACCCTCTCGGATGAAGGTGTCTGACGAGGTTCGGGGACCCGTGACACCCTGCGAAGGGGATTATCAGACTATCGGCGCCTTCAAGCTCGGAACGCTGCGAATCATGAATGGTACCGTCAGCCCCGGCGCTGTGAGCCCAGAGCCTGACAAGAAGCGGCGGGTCAGGCATCCAGCTGTGCCGCCACCTACTGCCAAGGAGGCTAGCTACTTCACGCCAGTTCCCGCTGTCGAGTCTGAGAGGGCTCGGAAAGGAATTCGGCGAGATGTGGACTTGACAATCCGGACGGACGCACCGATTCCCCCACCGAATGCTCCTTCAGTTGTTGTTCATGCGGCCCGGCTTCTGCGCAGCCCTACGGCGGCGATCAGGTCGCCTGTGGCTGCATCATCTGTCTCGCCGTCCCTGCTGCAGGTCGGAGGGTCAGAGGGGCTGAGAGGAGCGGATCGGCAGTACCTGGGGCAAATCCAGTTCAGCCCATTCTCCATCGCGGGCGATCCTCCCTCAAGCCCACTGGTGACGACATCGAAAGCCAACGAGCTGGAGGACCACTTGTTTGATGACGACGCGCAGTCCGAGTACTCCACGCTTGAGGTCCTCGACTTGCGCCTGGATCCCAATGCCAAGTCGGAGCCCACAGTGGTGTCTCCAAACTCTGCAGGACAAGGCAGCAAGACCGGTGATGGGTCTACCTCGAGCAACCCGAACTCGGAGCTGTCGCACAAGCCGCTGACCAAGACGGACTCGGGTTATTGCTCAAACGTTTCGCTGCGCTCGCTGAGGTCTTCGTCCAGGGACGTGTCGTGGAGATCTGGCGATGGGAAGCGTACATCTCTCAGCAGCCCGCTTGGGATTGCGCCTTCGGAGGGCCAGGTACTGTCTAGTACCGCGATTCCGCCTTCTCCTCAAAAGGGGCCTCCGCCGACACCTCCGCCAAAAGACTTTGTGCACTCGCCACGAGCCGGGGTGTCAGGCTCTCGAGCTCTGCCGCAACCGCTTGCTTTTGAAGCCAAGTCCCGTGCCGGTACCACCACGACTCCCGACAAGTCTCTGAGGAGGGAAAGTGCGTCGGCCGCGATGGGAAGAACGTGGACTGTTGCTCCCCAGTCTCCAGACTCGGCAATGGCCTCGCCCAGCAGCACTGGCTCAGCTGGATCGGCTTCGAAGCTGAGTAGCAGCAGGGGCTCACAAAAGGGGGGAAGACTTCACCGGCTGCTGAGCCGTGGAGGCCCGGGCCGGTCTCAGGCAGTTTCGGCTCCACAGCCCACGCACGTGTCCAAGAGTGCCAACTCTGCGTCAGCTAGCCGCGAGGGACACAGAAAGCTAAGAACACACTCTGGGCTGTTCCATATGAAGGTCAAGAAGTTGGACCTCAAGTCTCAGGCGAGCAAAGACACTCTCAAGACCATAATGAGTGTGGGCAGTCTCGAGGCGCGTGCGGTCGAGGCTGCGCAGAATGGAGAGGTGGCATTCGACTCCCCGGGCAAGAGCCGGAGGCACACCTCTTACACGCCTTCGGCCCTCGGCCAGGTTGCTTCGGCCGGTGCTGATATGCCACCGGTGCCGGAGCTAACGCCGACAAAGCCGAGTCGCACCATGAGCGTCGCGCGGAAGCCTTTGCCTGTGTGGAAGGACAGGCACACACTGGCTGTCGACACATCATCTGGCTACTTGGCGCTGAACGGCGACAGCATCACTGGTAGCATTTCCAGGTCGCCCACCATGATCACGCGCAGCCCGTCCAAGATTTTCGACAAAGACTACAGAGACGAGCTGCACTTCTCGCCCAGTGTCACAGAAATCAGCATCATCAGCCCGCTGGCGATTCCCTCCCCCACTGAAGACGACCAGCCGTCGCCTCCCAGTCCCGTGGTGCCGGAGCTCATGTCACGGAAGAGGGTTGGCGCGACGTCACCGCCCGTGAGCAGGAGAACTCGTAACCAAGGGAACCTCAGGGTCCCTGCGCTTCTGCGGCCGAAATCTACAACACCATCCCCCGCGCACTCGGCCATGCTGCCCCAGGAGCAAGATGCCGCTTCCGGATCTGTACATCACCAAGAGGCCCTCCAGCAGCTCACCGGGGCTTCAGCGGGTGTGCCCCAGGCCCCATTGTCGGCGCCAATGCAACCACGCAGGTCGATGACGCTGGAGCTGAGATCGTCGCGGTCCTTTTCCAGAGCTCCGGATTGGCAGGTCAAGACGGATCATGACACTTCCCGACGCTCGTCTATGGAAGTGCGCCCAGAGGACCCTCTTCGGGCCTTGGAGGTGGTGGTGGCAGAACAAGGCCACGCTATCCGAAGACATTCGAGCGCGCAGCCGCCGCCGTACGTGATATCGCCGCAGGAGAGTCCACAACTACGTCACCGGGCCAGCTACGATGACCGCACCCGGCCGCAGATGCGGTACCTCCCGTCGCAGCAACAGCTGCAGCAACATCCCTCCATTCCGGTCACGGATCCTCGGTGGTACCGCCAGTCGAGCGATGCATATGGGCAGCAGCAGCAGCAGCAGCAGTATCGCTCATGGCAACCACAGACGGCGCAGCAACAACAGTTGGAGAGACAACATCAATGGAACCAATGGCACGAGCAGCAGTACCGGGACCAGTCGCCACAATGGGACCAGCAGCAGCAGCAGCAGCAGCAGCAGCAGCAGGGACACTATTCGCGTCCCCACGTAGCTCGCGGCGGCCACGGGCGTAACAACAGCCTAGGGTCGCCGGATCGGCAGGGACAGCCTGGCGTCCCGTACCGTATCCTCCACAGCTACAACTCGCCTGCTTACCGGAACGCGCCCATTTGGGGATGAGGGAGTGCCGCCTGCCAGCCGCCCGCTTGACTTTACATCTCGTTTGTCTACCAGCACACACGCCACCATTGAATTATTGACGCTCATTGTTTCCTAGGCAGCTCGCGCTCACGACTTCTCATCATAGGGCGTCCCGAAACATAGGGAGCGCCTCTACTTTTCTTTCCTCTCCTTTTTCTTTCTGTTTCCACACTTTATTAACGTATTGATACCACATGGAGCCTTCGCGCCCCTTTTATTCTTTTTGTCATATCGATTGGAAGCGACGAGGTCTTATCACATATACCCCCCTGCAACTTTGGGCCATGTACTACAACTACCTTGCAACATCTGGCGAGATTTGTGCGAAGCAACTCACAGATCTGGGTTTTGTTCTTTTATTCTGGCGTATCTGGAAGCTCCATAGTCAGAAATGACTTTCTTGGACATAGTTTGCCGTTTTTGTTTACAAGCGTGATATTTTTGTCAGCCACCTTTGTTTCTCTCCAGTACCCCCGACTATAGCCCAGAAGCCTAGCCGTGCTCGAAGCAACGCATACCTCATAAGCAAATACGGAGCAAAGGCAATACCCAAATTGAAGGACTATTATTTTTTTGCTTGAGCAAGCTAAGCTGTGGGCCTGGGGACGCGACCCGGGAGCCAAGGAGGAAACGCCTCATGTATTCAAAAGCGCGAGGGTGCAATCAAGATTGTGAAGTGACGGACGCAAAAACATGGGCGGTCGGCTGCATGCGAAGTGATCTGTGGCATACGCAGCAAGCCAATATGCTGCCTACAACAGCTAGGGAGGTGGGTGACAGGGGTTTAGCCGATGGAGACAGCAGACGTGCTGGGCATGAAGCTTCGGCGGACAGCCAAGACAAAGGACGGAGCACAGCTCTCAGATTTGAGCCATTTGCATTTGGGCTTTTTGTGATAGCCGAGCTTGACGCGGCGGGAGGGGGGGTAAGGACCCCATCGGCAAACAGGACAAGGTGGCTGGCCGATAAGGTACATACGCTGCAGCCGCTGCGTGGTAGCCCCCCTCCCCTGCCAGCCGACGCTTACAGCACACGCTCAGCTGACAGAGAGACCAGCGGGCGCTGGGCGGGGCTCTCCTGGGCGGTCTCAGACAAGCAGTCACGCAGCCTTCAGCTTTAGGCAAGGATGGGCCAGGTTCGCCACCCCAGGAGAGAGGGGGACAGAAAACAAATCAAATAAAAATAAACAAAAACAAGATAAGAAAAAAAAAAAGCAAAACAAAACAAACCATGGGCACCGTAAGCTCCCGATTTGTTGCCCATCTGGGTTCGGTAAAGAAAAAAAGAAAAGAAAAAACGAAACGAACCGGGGATGCGATGGGCGGGGGAAAGGAGGAAAAGGAGGGGGCTTGGGAGGGGGAGGAAGGCAAAGGACCAGGACAAGGGGGACTGACTGACTGATTGACGGGAGGGAAACTGACAAGACCTTGCTTGACTGAATGTGACCTGAAATTCCGCCACGGCTCCAGATGTGCTTTGACCACCTCCTGCTTCTTATTCTGCCCTTGGGAACAAGTTCCATTTTGATTCTTTTGCTTCTTGCGGACCCGTCGCTTCATCATACAGCAAAACCGCCCGTCCCAATCGCGAGACCCTGAGATAAGGAGCCCGAGTGGGGGAAGGATAGCACGAAAGAGAGAGAGAGAGAGAGAGAGAGAGAGAGAGAGAGAGAGAGAGAGCGCGAGTGGGGTGTGTGTGAGGGAGCATATCGCACGCATACAGTAGAAATGGCACACCACCTCTTTGCGCGCCGGCCGGAGCAGCCGACAACAGCAACGACAACACACCACCACCACCACCACCACCACATCCTCCTCCAGCCGAGCCGGCTGTTGTCCCTGACGCCGCCCCCGACTACCACGGCGCACCACAAGAAGAGGTCGGCCCAGCACCGCGTGCTGCAGCGGCGGAGCAGCCCCGCCGTCCTGGCGGCAGCGGCGGCGGCCGCCGCAGAGGCCGAGGCAGCAGCAACAGCAGCAGTAGATACACTGCCACCACCACCACCACTACCACCACCACCGCTCGGAAACGTCGGTGCCCGCTACGACCCTAACCCTGCCGCTTCCTCGTCATCCTCTCACCACTACCACCACCCCCAACACCGTCACCACCATCACCACCACCACCACCACCACCACGACCTCGCCTCGCTCGCCTCGTCCTCCCCAACTCCGTCCCTCCGCGGCGGAAGCGACGCGGCCAGCATCGCCACCACCACGACCCGCACCTTCGAGTCGCTCCTGTCCCGGCACCACCGCCACGACCACGACCACGACGCCGACACCGACACCGACACCGACCATAACCACAACCACAACCGCCATAGACGGGCAACCTCCGACGCAACAACAACATCCCCCTCCTACTATTACTACACCTACAACCACCAACCCCGCTCGTCGTCCCTGTGGCTGCTAGGCCGGGGCGCCCCCACCGCCTCGGAACCGTCGCCGCCCCGGAGGCGGCTGGTCAAGGAACCGACATCCGGGTCGCCCCGGCCGCTCCTGGCCTTCGAGATCGGCGGTGGCGGGGACGTCGAGGACGAGGCACCGCCGCCGCCGCCGCCGCCGCCGCAGCCCCAGCACCAGCAGCAACAACCCGACATGTCACCACCGTTAGCGACATCAGGGCTCGGTAGAAGCGGCAGCGGCAGCGGCGCCATGCGCAGGAGGGTCTTCGACCGCCTCATCGCCCTGTACCGCCGTGAGAAGTGAGGATACCATACTCTGCCTCTCCTCCTGGCTGCCACCACCGTATTGTTCCTGCCTCCTTTCGTCCGATTTGTGCTGTACTTTGCTTCCTCCACGACTGCTCCTTCCTCTGTTCAAAGCTTCCACCACATCATGGCATAGCATGGCATTCGCTTTATCTTCTGCATCACACATCAAAAGCAGACAGTATTGCAAACTATTTGATCCATTATCGTCGTAAATCGTTATATATATCCGGCAAACTTTGATCGGACCACAAACCCAATGCCGCCGAGTAACGTGCTTTGCTGCCGTCTTTAGCTTCGTCCTGTCTAAATCGGATAAATAAATAAAAAGGACGACCAAACGAACCCGCGATGTGTCAGGAAAACAAGCAGAAGCAAACAAGGAACAGCAAAGAGACAAGCAAGTGGGAACGTAAATGGAAGAGTAAAAAAACAAAAACGTCAAAGGGGGTAATCCAAAAATCAATCGTAAAAACTCGAAGCGTCAACCACCCATCCAACCAATCCCTTGTATGAATGTTTCCTTCGCTTGTGAGTATGGAAAAGGAGGGAAAAAAAAAGACATTCTTGTGCTTCGTCATGAATGCGTAAACGTAACACGGACGAGGATTAAACCGCGACGGTGCTCAGGCTTTTCCCTTTCATCTCTTATTCCTGAACAACTCTCTTGCCCATCGAGCTCTTGTCCATCTAGCTGAGGTAGCCGCGCACCGGAGGGCGGTCGTAGACGACCTCGCGGTCGACACCAACCACGAGCTCGCGGTCGTAGTCGTACTTGCTGCTACGGCGTCGGTGGCGGTTGTCGCGCGTTTCGCGCTCGTACTCAATCTCGCGAAGGTGGCGCCTGCGGTGGCGGCGTATATCGTCCGTGAGCTGAACGAGCTGGAGTACGTCCTCCTATAGTCGGAAAATGATGCGCAGTCAGCAGTCTGAAGAGGAGCCGAGGGGTGAAGGGCAAAGTGGGAGAAAGATGGAAACTCACGTATTGCAGGTACTGCATAATGTAAAAGAACGGGCCCCTCTCCTCGTAGTCGTAGCCCATCTCCTCGATGGCCTCGCGGATGACAAGGTCCTTGGTGATCTCGGTCCACATATCTTCCGTCGCCTTGGGACGTCTGGGGGCCCTCCCGCGCGAGGTCTTCTCGATCTCGATCTCGTGGTTCTTGTCCGAGACCGAGATGTTGAGCCGGTCATTTGTCTCGACGACACGCTCGCGGGGGCGCTCGCTGGTCACCGTGGTCGTGTTGGAAGACACGTTAGACTCGCTGTCACGCTCGGGGACAAAGCGAGCCCGGCGTACGCCGCTGTACCGCTCCCACGTCACGTCGGCCGCGCCGCCGCCCGCGCCCTCCATGCGGACGCGCTCCGTGCCCGGGGGCACGTCGACAATGGTCCAGTCGCGCGTAGCCCCACCATAGGCCTCGCCGTTGCGGCCCCGCGCGTCGATGCGGGACGTAATACGCTCGCTCTCATCGCGGTAGTCGGGCAGGGCACTGTGAGAGCGGCGGTGGCCATGGTGCGTGTGCTCGGCACTAACGCTGGTAGACCGATGACGATCGTCGATGTCGACACGCAACTTGTGCCGGTGATCAAAATCGTCAAAGGTACGCCGAGCCGGCAGCGGCTCGGGGGACGGCGAGCGTCTCTTGGCCACGACGAGAGCACCTCTCTCGCGCGAAACTGACCGGCGGCGGATGTTAATGTCCACCTCATTGCGGCCACGGGTGCGCGTGATGTCAATGTCGGTGTCACGTGTGATCTCCACCTCGCGCTGCTTCAGAATCGGCCGCGGGGCGGGCGAAGGGGGCGGCGGAGGACGAGCCTGGACGACGCCTATATCACAGATAAAAATAAAATAAAAAACCATGATTAGGGAGACTGCATTCAAGCGGGTTGGGGATGAGATAGTGATGGATAAACATACCGTGGTCAATGTTCCTGTAGTGGGTGATAACCTCCCTCTCGATGGTCGGCCCACGAATCACCTCGGGAACAGCGGGGGCGGGAGGCGGCGGGGGCGATGGGCTAGGGCTGGGGATTCGCTCCCTGGAGCGCGAACGCTCAATAATGCGGATACGCTCGCGCTCGTGCGAAGGCGACCTCCCGCGAATGGGGTGCGGCGACGGTGACCTCCTCCTCTCGAATTGCCGGATCTCGACACGCTCGCGGCGCGGCGGGGGTAGGGGCTCCGACACCATAGAAGGGCTCGGGCTGCGGGCGCGGCGGACGTACTGGGTGCGCTCCTCAAAGCGGACCTGGCTGGGCGAGCGGGGTCGGGGTCGGGAAACAGTCTCGATCTCGCGCTGACGCAGGACCATGGCGCCAGAGGTGTCAGCGGGAGCGGCGCTGACCGGGCCACGGCGCTCGTCCCTCAAGAAGTTGGGAAGCCGTGAGTCATCATCACGCTCGCGCTCGCGCTCGCGGACTTGGACTCGGCTGCGGGTCGGGCCCTCCTCTCTCCTGACCTCTTCGAAGCGCTCGTAGACATTTGCCTCTGAGCCACCACCACGGCGTTGGGGCGGGGCGCCCGACCCGGTGGTGTAAAAGGTGTCGCGGTCATCGTAGAAATCCCGCCGGTCGGCCATTATGGACTAAAGGGGTGGGCAGAGCGCACACGCTTCTGCAGACTCTTTTGTTGTTGTTGTTCTTGTTTCTGATCGGGCACTCTGAGTGCGCTTCTTTCTTGGCGTGGGTGTCTGAAAGTGCTCAGGTTGCTAAAAGCAGGCGTGAAGCCGCTTCTTGTCGTTTTTGCGCGCGGCGCGTGAGCTAGGTTGAGTTGTCTAGTCCAGATGGCGTCCGTTTCTTTTGGAGCGGTCTGGTCGTGTCCGTCTTCTTGTGGTGGCGGAACCAGACGAAACGGGGGGCCTGGGTTTTGATTGCGGGGTTTGGGTAGCGAGGCGTGACCTGACAAGTCCTAGACTGTTGCTCTCTGGGTCTCGCTTTCGCCCGAGACGATCCACAAAAAGGGGTTTGGGTATCGCGACCTGCGTTGGGCAGGGGGTGACAAATGGTTTCTCGGAGCGGGCCGGAAACAAACACAGGCGTCAAGAATAAAGAAAGAAGTAGAAGAAGCTGCTTCTCGAGAGGCTGCCGCGAGAGTCGAGGGGTGAGGAAGAGGGGGAGAGTTGCACAAACTGCGTACGAAGCGCACGAAAGAGGGGGGTTATGAAGCCGCCCAGGAGGAGCAGCAGAAACAGCAGCAGCCGCAGCAACAACCAGCGGCGTTAGCGTATCGTCGGGCTTCGGGTCGCCCTGGTGCGGTGTCTTCTGATCGGCGCCAAAGGGCAGGCAGCCCAACCAGAGCTGCAGGGGAGGATTGGGTGGCCGTGCTGGAACCGCCTAGAAAGGGGGGAAGAGTGAGGGGCGCAGCGAGCGGGTAGGGCAGTGCGCGTGGGTGGTGGGTTTGTTTGGCGAGGGCTGGGGCGCTAATAAAAGAAAGAACAAAAAAAAGGAACCGAAAAGCAACTCAGAGGCTTGTCGACCCCGGGGCTCGGGAGCACGGCGACGAGGGCGAGGGCGAGGGCGAGGGTGACGAGGGGGTCGTTCTTGGTAGCAGGAGAAGGTCAAAGAGGGCAAAGGGGGTGCTCAGGGTCTTACACTACAGTAGTGCGCCGTGCCTTTATTTTGGTCGTTTGACCAGTAGATTGGCAAGATGGGATCCTTTTTGCAGCCGATCAGTTCAGGCGGTTCCATGGATGGATGGGCAGGCTTGGTCGAGTCCTCTTCGCTCTCGTTCGTCGCCGTTCCCTGCAGCAAGGCTTTTTGGGCGCCAACCAGGCTCTGGCAGGACATGAATCGTCATCCAAACCGGTCCCCGCGGCAGAATGGAGGGGCTGGTCGGAAAAAGCTGGGTCCAGGGACAGGGGTGACACACTGGGCTCGTCGCCCTTTCCGCGGTGGCAGTTCTGGCAGGTGCCGGGACGGGAAACCAGGGCAGGAAGGAAGCGGCAGCCGGGGGGGTTTGGTTGGGTGGGGTGGGTACACCTTCCCATCTCGCGAGCTTGCTGATGATGGCACCAAGCACGAGGCCTGCCCCACTCTTGACAGCCGTCTGAGACGGGCGGGAAAATCAGGAAAACGGAAAATGGAAAATGGAAAATCTGTCATTTTGTCTTCTGTCTGTGCCTTTTTCCTCCATCTCGTGTCTACCCATCCGTCTTACCGGGCTGGACTGCCGTTGCCGTTGGTGCCGTTGTTGAGACGAGGGACCTGTCCATCCGACGGGAATACATGCCTAGTCCACGCCCCGTTCGTTCGAGCGGTTTTGCAAGGAGGCCGCTGCCGATGAATCTGACTGTGGCAGGCGGCCGTCTCTCAGGCGCCCAGGCAGGCGTCACGCCAGGGTGCAGGCTGGTCCCACGCACGACTGCATGTGTTCAGCTGCCCTCGGCCCAATTGGGGGGATTGGGTGCCGACTCGGTAGCTCGCCTCCCCGTCAGGCGAGCGCGGGACACCAGACCCCCTTCCCTCAACCCCCTTCTCCAGAACTCCAGAACTCCAGAAGGCTGGCCAGCTTCCACCACGTCTCGGCCCCCTTCGCAGCCCGCCCACTCTGCCGAGCCATCACGCACTGCGGTGCACAGTACTTCTGGCCCCCCGCATCACATCTGAGTGCATGCATCGGAGAACCCTAGATGCCTTGCCCGAGTGATGGTATGAGGTGGCATCCGGGATGAGGGCTTTTGGCTAGTTTCTGGGATGCTTGTTGCCCGTGCTTATTTCCCTCACCTCGGGCGGCTGAATCGAGTGGCTCTGACGCAATTGTGCAGCTTCTGCCAGCCCGTTTTGGGCATGGAAGCCTGAGCCAAGGGAGCTTCCCAGGCCTCCGCTCGCCAATCAGATACGTCCGTGCCGTCTGGCCCAACTTGGTCCATGGTCCATCGAGCCTTTTTTTCCACGCGCCAGATTCCGAACAATCAGGATCCCGAGATCAGGGAAAGGGAGCAATATCACAGCCTTTCTTATAGCCTCGCGTCCACTCCCGATGCGACGGGCGGAGCTGCAAGTTTGTGCACTATTACGTCTAGCGCGGAGGAACGCACGACGTTTGGGCCTTTTTTCCTCCCTCCCCAATAAAACGAAGCCCGCCGTCACATCGTCATACGAAGCAGTCCTATAGGCTATAGGACAGATTGTTCAACGGGAGTTCCCCATTCACGTTACCGGAACTGCATGTTTCTATCTGGCCGCCGTGGCATGCAAGTGCAGCTCCGCCCGCCCAAAAACTGACGTAGTCTCACGTGTGTGCGTGTGCCGGCCTTGCATCTTCCCCACCGAGCCCCTTCAAGAAACCCACCGCAGGCTAAAGACGGATGCGCCGGCCTTGGACAGGCCGACCTCGAGGCCGCTCCCGTCGCCGCTCTTGATGCTGGCCGGGATCGTCGCGCCCTTCCTCTCCAGCACCATCTTGGCGCCCGCCTCGGGCTCGGGCAGCTGGTAGAAGCGCCGGCCGGCCCGGCTCAGGAACAGCTCGAGGGCTTCCTGCGTCACCTCGTCGTCCGAGATGACGCCGCGCTCGACAGCGTCCTCGAGCGCCAGCAGCACCAGCTGTGTCGCAAACGGCTGCGTGAAGACGCCCGCCGGAACCGGCTGGCCCGACTTGGACGCCAGCGGGTGCGGGGCGCTGTCACTGCCGCTGTATTTTTTTGGTGGTCAGTTTTGTTGTTCCGAGGTCGAAATGGACCAAAAGCAAGTTGGCTCGGGGTTGCCTGTGACGAGATGGTGAAGGCGGCATGACCGAAACCGGAAATGATCATCGCCTGTGTCCTCGACACTGACAGCTCACACACAGACCCCGCACGGCAGCCACCGCCGACTTTGTCGACTTACAAGAAAAACTTGGGGTTTCCGCTGCACACGGCCTTGACCAGCGCGTCACGGTCTTTGGGCTTCTTGGGAATCGGCTTGCAGAAGGCGTGCGGGTCCACCTCGCTGACGTCCCCGGTGAGGTAGAGGTGGTGCGCCGTGATGGTGCCCGCCACCGTCGGTCCGCAGGCCTTGACGGCCTCGATGGCCGCGGCCGTGGAGCAGTGCTGTTGTTCGTCGCCTTTGCTTTAGAAACCCTCGTCTGGTCTTGGTCAACAAAAGAAGAAGAAGAAAAAGAAAAAAAGACTCACCTCGAGAATGACGCGCAGTCGCGGAAACGTCTCGTGCAGGCGCCTCAGCTCGGGCAGGAACGCCTCCTCGAGCGACAGATCCTCGGTCGGCTCCGCATTGGGCACCTCGCCGTGGAGGTTCAGCACGAGGCCATGCTCCTCCATGGCGCGCAGGACGGGCGCGTAGGCCTCGACAAAGTCGGCGCCCGCCCCGGACTCGGAGTTGGTCGTGACGCCCTGCGGGTACATCTTGACCCCCGTCACGCCCGCCGCCGCCGCCTCGGCCACCACCTCGGCCGTCACGCTCGGGTGCAGGTACAGCGACATGAGGTAGTTGACGCGCGGCTCGATGGCCTGCAGGGCGGACCGGATCTCGAGGGCGCGCGAGACTGTCGTCACGGGCGGTTGGAGGTTGGGCTTTTTTTTTTTTGTTCATTAATGTTAGTATCATTGTTTTGGTATCTGTTATAAAAATAAGAAAGAAAAAAAATACATGAATACGTACCATCACATAGACAGTGTCGACACCCCCGTTGCGGATCTCGGGAGTCACCAACTCCATAAGCTGGACATCACATGGCCGAAAGAGAGCGAGAGCCTCGTGTAAGCGGAACATCCACGGCACGCCTGACGCCGAGGGGTAGGGGTCAGTCAGTCAGTCAGTCAGGTCATGGGGGAGCCAACCTTGCCCTGCCGCAAGTGGACGTGCATGTCCGCCGAGGGCGGTAGCTCCAGCTGCTGGATGTCCTTGAGTCTCATTTTTTGAGTGCCTGTGGGTGGTTTGTTTCTTTTTCTTCTCTTGTTCGGTGCTCGTTTCTGAGGATCGTGCTGGTTGAGCGCAGGCTGCTGCAGTTGTTGAGCTCAATTTGACTGGCCTCGCCGCTCAACCCCGCCAATTGAGGGTTTCCCCAGCAGCTCGGCCAAGTGGGGTCACGATTCAGGGGCTCCGGAGCCCCAACTGCCCGAACCTACCTACCTCATATCGATACTTGCTTACCAGACAAGCCATAGTCCTTGACATTATGAAGGGAGGTAGTTTAAAGAGTCGCAAGTCTACAACCACCAGTGATATAAAACTGACACATGCGACCAACTTTGAGAACTGGAATCCGGTAGCCGAAGAAGTAGAGCCGTCATCAAGATATTACAGGAATTCAAGACTATAATTTTGGTACAACACCGAACACCACCGGCAGTAGAAGCACAGCCCAACACAACCTCTGACGGCCCGCAAAGCTTGGGTAAACATTCCCCCCTGCAGGCACACCCTCAGCGACGCGATCATGGCTTGTGATAGCTGGGCTGCCCCTGGTGCATCAGCGCCTGGCTCTCAGGCCCGGCCGCCCCGTGGCCGTCCATCTCGAGCGTGGGCCTCTGGTCGGGCAGCTCGTGCGTCGTGTAGCGCGGGTCGGCGAGCTCGTGCGCCGACGCCACCGAGTGCAGCTCCTGCGGCGGCATCGCCGGCGGCGGGCTGCCCGCGCCGCCGCCCATCGGCTTCTTGTCATAGCCGCCCCACATGCTGCCGGTGCCGTCCGAGAAGGGCGTCGCGGGCTGCGGCGGCGGCGAGCCGCCGTGCCCGTAGTAGTACTGCTGCTGGTGCTGCTGGTGCTGCGCCGCGAGCGCCGTCTTCTGCCGCTCCTCGTCCTCGGCCTGCGCCTTAGCCTCGGCCTCTGCCTCGGCCTGCGCCCTCTTCTTGCGCTTCATAATGCAGATGACGAGGACGACGCCCATGATGGCCAGGACGCCCACCGCCACGCCCACGCCGATCCCGGCCTTGGCGCCGAGGGACAGCTGTCCGGAGCCGCCGTCGTGTTGGTCCGGCACGCCCGACTGGCCGGGGTCGGCGGGGCTGCTGTTCGGGTCCGTGGGCGGCCGCGACCCGTTGGCCGAGACGACTGGCAGGGCCGCGGCCGGCTTCCAGAGGCCGTCCGTATCCAACTTGATCTCGGTCAGCACCTTGTTGACCATGTAGTAGATACGTATGACGGACGTCGGCTGGTGCGATGCAAGGGCGAACTCGGCGTTCGGCTCGTCCGCGAGCGGCCACAGGCTGGTCGACAGGTTCGTGTTCATTAGCCGCCAGACCCAGTTGATGTTGCCGACCTGGTGCAGGGCGCGGTCGCTGCCGATGTAGAAGATGCTGCGAGTTATAGCCTTGTCGATGGCGACCTCCAGGGACTTGGGATTGCCCGTCCAGGCTGGGAGCGAGAAGTTTGTGGCGGACTGGGCATCTGTCTGGATGTTGGTCGTGTTGGTAAGATTCGTGTTGGCTGTCACGTTGATCCCCAGAGCCAGCGGGCGTGGCGTAGTCGCTATCGATTGTCGGAGGTGCAGCGTCAGCACTTGGCCTTGGCACACATGTGCTTGTTTCCTCCTTTCTTCTCACCCGTTCTGCTTACCTAGCCAGTATCTACCGTCCGAGTTGGTGCGCGCCACTCCTATGTTTGCGCTGTCTCTGGGATAGGCCATCGTGATGTTGCGAGTCTTTTCCTGGAACTGAGCCCCAAGAGCAAAGCCCGACGTGGTATCTCGCGACACGACGCCGGCATGATAGAAGCTGTTTGCTACAGGGTCGTATCCAATCGACTGGATAGTCTTGTTGGTATCGTGATAGTAGACACGGTACCCGTCCGTCTCGCCGAGGAGGACAGAGGCGATTCCCGTGGTGCTGTGCACCGGTGGTTTGTCGTCGGATATAATGCGGTCGTTGAGCTTGTTGAACTTGCCCGTCTTGTGATTGCACTCGTGGAAGGTGTTCACAATACCACCATCCTTGTTCTGGTAGAAAATTGAGGCCTGTGGAAAAAAGCGTGTAAGAGAGAATCGCCACCAACACGACCGAATGGAACCCTGGTGGTACTGCCGTTAATAGCTTACCACCGTCTTGCTGCTATCCCACCAGCCCCTTCCAGTCAACGCGGTGCCGTTCCGTGGCTCAAAGGCGAGCGACAGCGTGTTTGGCGGGTCAACTGGAAATACAGGCGTGCCACTGCTGTTGCAGAAGCTGTACATGATGGCACCCGTCGTCTCGTTTTGCTTTATCACCTGGGCACCAAGATCGGTCCACCAGGCCGCCATGGTGGCCGAGCAAGACTGCACCGCCAGGCAGAGGATGAGCATGGATGATGGGAGCGCCCTGGCAGGGCGCCCGGCGAGGGAAACCATCTCGACGCGAACCCCGAGGTCGGTACCCCAACTCGTGGATGTCGTTAGGAGCGTATCGTTACCCCTTAGGATGGATAAAGGAAACAGGCTAGGCGCTACGCGCCAACAGACATGAACTATCGCACTAGACCTTTAAGGCGTTGTGAAGGAAAGGACAGCCGAGATGTGTCGGCCAGCTCGGCGAGGGCGGCGAGATAACAACACAAAGTAGTGGCGCACTGGAGTCAAGATGGATCAGAAACGAGGGAACAGGTCGAAGAAAAGTGGCAGGTCTTGGGTGCACAAGGGCCGCAGAATGGGTGCGGCACAGCAAAGAAGTGAGGGTGGTGCAGAGGGGTGGAAAGACGACGGATCAGCGCGATATGCGACCAGGCAGTCGTCGATAGGAACCTGGCAAGATAACCTCCACCCCGCGAGCCAGGGCCCGGGTGCGGTAAGCAGGGGGAGATGACGGGAGGGAGAAAAAAAAACGCCCCTGGCTGCCATCGTATAAGATCGTCCAGTGGATGGGCACCTCGGCGAGAAGCTGAAAACGGGCCCCCACCTCGAACCTCATCCAGACGGCTGCCGGCTTGTCCGTCATCCGATAAGCTGTGGTAGGGCAAAAAAGGATCAGAAGCGAGATGTTAAGGGGAAATGGGGTGGTGCTGATGCATTGTGAACTGTGCCATACGCATACTCATGTTGTACTGCAGATCAAAGCCCGTTCCCTCACATTGACCCAGAACAAAACCTCAACAAGCACATTGGCGGTGGGTGTGTCCGAACAGGCTACACAGGAGAAATCACTAGACTGAGGGCGTGTGTCAGCAACCAGCATGGGGCTGATCGCGGGGCGTGGGTGGGAAAAGACTAGGCCTAGAGTAGCGAGGTGATCGCGAAAAGCTGAGCGGTTAGCATGGGTCAGTCGGCGGACGGCGGTCCAGCGTGTCGAAGTCCCCCTAAGCCTTGCCAGATTTCATCGAAAGCAGGGGTCGAGTCCTCAGCCCCAAATAGCAGAGCGGTGGGCCTGTGCCCATTTGATGGGTCCTGCTTGTCCTTCTCGCCTCTCAGTGGCCCGCTCGTAAAGATTGGTCCGGCGGGACGAGCAAGTGCAAGATCTGCTCTCCACCAATTTCCCTTGCCGTCTCGCCCTCGATGCCGACACACAGCAACACATGCCAAACCGTCAGCTGCCAACCAATCGCTGTGTTTCTTTTCTGGTGCCCGACGCTGTTCGAGCGGGTCAGCAAAAACACCATCGTAGCCAGTACCAGCACACGGACAAGACGCTCGCCGTGCTGGGTAGTCCATCACCGCATCAGACCCGCGCTTCGCATGGCCGCGCCGTCCTGTTAAAGTAGCGGATAAATCCCACGTTGGAATTGCAAAGCCGGACAGAGATTGGACAATCCTGTCCTGCCGTCGTCGAATGGCGCGCTAATTAGACAAGGTACAATACAAGCAAGAGCAATAGCTAGGGTGGCGAGTTGCCTAGGTCGGTATGCCTAGGTCGGTAGGAGTGTTGATGGAAATGTTGCTGCCTATTCCAGGCCCCGCTTCACATCCTTGGCTCTCAGGCCCTCCAGCGTCGTCTCGGGTGTATCGTAAGAGGGCCTTCCGCCAAGTATATCCACGATGTCCCTCAGAGGGGCCCAGAAGGCCGTCTTGGACCGCCTGTTTTGCCAGTCCGTCTCGTTGGTCTCAATCTCCTCGATCGGCCGCATCGACACCTGCGATCCCGTGATGCTGATGACCCCCGAGCTCATCGGGTCGGCCTTGACCTTCTCCGGCGCCCCCTTGCCGTAGCTCTCAAGGTGCTCAATACACTTGATGGCCAACCGGACCGCCCGGCAGCGGTCCATGGGCGACGGAGTGTCTCCCTGTGCCCAGTGGCGGGGTGTGATGTCGCGCGACTCGAACCGCCCGTGCGCCTCCTCGCGGATCAGATCTCCGATCACCTGTGCCGTGTACACCTTGCTCGCCTTCTCCGCCACGAGAATCAGACGCCCGGCGCGCGACCGGCCCTTATCTTTGGCGAAGACAGCCTTGAGGTGCTTGATATCCGAGTCCAGCATACTCATGCTGATGCCCTCCTCTGGCGTGTACACGGCACTCGCACCGCAGGCCAGTCCCGCTAGCGTAGCCACGTATCCGCACCGCCCACCCTGCGTCTCCACCACGAAAACGCGGCGCCTGGTCGACGCCGCCGACTGCTTGATGGTGTCGCAGAACTGCACGAGAGCGTTCAGACAGGTGTCGGAGCCCAGAGAGTATTCCGTCCCGGGCACGTTGTTCGACACAGTCGCGGGGAGTAGCGCAAATGGTATGCAGAGCGAAGGATACTTGTCCCTTGCCTGCCGCAGCTCTGATACGGCCCGGAAGGCCTCGAATCCACCGACGATGAACATGGCATCGAGCTTGTACTTGCCGACCAGGTTTGCGATGTGCTCCATCCCGGACTCGCTGGGCAGTTCACGATTGGTTCCAATCTCTGAGCCGCCGAGGGTGCCCCATTTGTCGACCTGGAACCAGTCAAATCCCTTTACAGAGCCCTCGTAGTTGCCTTTATCGCCGACGTCACCGTGATGCCTGGCGAAGCCAGCAAAGCCGTTCTCTATCTTGACAGCCTCGTGGCCGCGCGACATGCAATAGGCAACGCCGGCCCTTGTGGCCGCGTTCATGCCACCAGCTGGGGCCCCCACGTTGATGAAGCCGATTCTCATTTGCTGCTCTCCGTGCACCATGTTAGCAATGCATCCCTATACGCCAACTCTAATCCAACCGGTCACCTCAGGGGAATGAAAGGGAGTACTCGCCTTCTCTTTGGGCAGAAGGAGACTCTTGTTAAGATTGACCGAAGTCAGCATCATGTACGACTTGTACTGTTCCGCGAACTCGACATCCCGGAGCGACAGGGCTAGGTCAAAGTCCTGGGCCTTGATGGCGTCGGCAACCTTCTTGGTGTCCTGGACTGCCTCCATTAGGTTCTTTCTGATGATTTGGTTTTCGCTCATGGCGATGACGCAGGTCGGAGTCTCAGGGGTCGCCTCAAGCACGGCCTTGACGGCCTCGACACCCTGCAATGTTGCAAGCATGCGGTCGTATGCCACCGCTTTGCCACCACGTTGAAGGTGGCCCAAGACACTGGTGCGCGTGTCCAGACCCAGACCCTCCTCGTCAGCCAGCAGCTCATGGACCTCATGGGCCGTGATTTTCCTGCCATGGCGGTCATGGGCGCCCTCGGCGATGATGACAATGGTCTTCTTGGTGCCGATCTCGCGGTTCTTCTGGATGATGGCGCACATCTCCTCCTTCCAGTTATTGTCCCTGGGCTTTTCAGGGATGAAGACGAAGTCAGCACCCGTGGCGATGGCGGCCATCAACGCCAGCCAGCCGCAATGCCTGCCCATGACCTCGACGACGAAGGCGCGCTCGTGAGACTCGGCCGTGGAGTCGATCTTCTCGATGCATTCGCAGATGCTCATCAAGGCCGTGTAGCAGCCGATGGTGGCGTCGGTGCCCGACAGGTCGTTGTCGATGGAGCCGACTAGGCCGACAATGTTGAGATGGCGGTAGGGCTGAACTTGCTTGGTTGACAGTTCTCCTTTTTGAACGAGCTCGTCAAGAAGTGACGGCCACTCGGCGCGGAACTTGTCGGCACCAGTCAGGGAGCCGTCTCCGCCGCAGATGATGAGGGCGTCAATGCCGTTCAAGACCATGTTCTTGGCGGCGATGAGGCGGCCTGGGCGCTCGTAGAAGGCCATGCACCTGGCTGTGAGAATCTGGGTGCCGGCAGTGGCAAGGTAGTTGCGGACATCCTCCCAGCTGGTCTTCTTAATGTCGTCGCCGCCCCGGACGAGGCCCTCGTAGCCGCGGTAGACGCAGTAGGCGTCACAGCCCATGTGGATCGCCATCCTGACGACGGCTCGGACGGCGGCGTTCATGCCTGGGGCGTCGCCGCCCGAGGTCATAACAGCGATTTTCTTTTTGGGCGAGTCCATGGTCGCTGTTGAGGTTGAAGCTAGTCAAGTGGATGAGTACTTGAGTGAGTATCTAGTAGGTAGATAGTAGGCGGGTAACGCGACTTAAACACCGGTTGCCTAGTAGGTACTATATGCTTGAATTAAAAGGCCGAAGATAGCAAGTATGAGAAAGAAAAGAAAAAACAGAAAGAACGAGGCTTTTAGGTGGGCTGGTTTCGATGGCTTGCGGCTGCCCGCCCGTAGTTTGGATCGTTGGTTGAGCCTTCTTTGAGCTCAACCCTCCTTGCAAGGGGTGGGGGGACCCATAAAAGTCAAAGGTCTGAGGCCTCGAGACGACGCGACCAAGGTACGTCACTGCGGCGTACATAGCCCAGCGAATTACAACAAGCTCCCTTTTACTTTCGTTATCTCGTAACATAAACCCCACCCGCTCGTTGAATTTTAAGCCGGCCCATATCTGTGGTATACAAGCGAGAAAAAAAGTCTCTAAAACCACCTCAGGTATTTGATAGAGGACAGTGACGCTGCCTGTCCCACAGGGTGCCGGTTCACTCCCACCTGTAAAATCAGGCACTAGTGTTGATACGCGTACTTGGGGGTGGTATCGCTTCCAATGGCAAGTAAATATTGGCCGGGGAGGAAACATGATAGGAAATAGAATATGAAGTAGGAATCACCCTACACAACATCACCAAAGTGGTAGGTACCTCTGTGCCCTCAACATGCGGGCTTTTGCTGAATGACCCTCGTGGTGGGGAATGCCCCTCCTTTGCATGGGTAGCCAAGCTCCCGGGTGGGATACGTCAGACGCGTTCCTGCCACCGCTGCTGAGCTTCAGCCACTGGAAAGCTTCAGCCACAGCCCCTTGCATCGGCATATGCCAAATTCGCGGTGGAGACAAGAAACATTCCCGCCATCTTGTACCGTCTCCAACTCCAAAATAGACTCGCCAAAAGGCTCGCTACAGCGCCAAACGGCTCGCTACAGCATCGCATACATCTTCCGCCCTACCCCGTAATGTCAGACCCCGCACAGTCGCCCTTGTCCCTGCGGCCATGGCCCACCGGGGACAAAAGGCCCAAGAGCCTCGCCGAGTTCATCGCCCGCGTCAAGTCGGCCGGCCCCGAGGGCTTCCGCGGCATCAGCGAGGATGAGCTGCGCAAGGAGGTCGAACTCGAAACTGCCGGCATCGCCTCGACCGAAACGGCCGCCGCCGATGGCGACGTTGAAATGGAGAGCGGCCCTGCGGATGGCGATGAGTCGACGACAGCAGTGACGGCAGACACCATCAGGACGGCGAGGGACGAGGCCCTGAGGAACATTGAGTATGCGCGCGCAAGTGGAAAGAAGCTGTCGGTGGACGATGGCTTTTGTAGCTGACTCTTGTCTCTATGCTCTGAAGCATGGCTCACCAGAACGCCATGCTCACCCTCGACTTCGTCTCGCTCTTGCTCACCAAGGAAGACCCCACCAACGCCGGGAGGACCCTCTCCCCAACCCTGAGGGAGCTCGTCGGCATTGGCACCCTCGGTGCCGACCAGCTGGCCGCCCCGCAGACCAATGTGTCGCGGGTCCAAGACAACAAGATGGTGGCCACGGGCTGGAAGTTTCTCGACATCAACAGAAGCATGGACTCGGTCCTGTCCGCCGCCGCTCGTCTGCAAAAGGAGATCTCGCTCGAGACCCGGTACTGGGCTGATGTGCTGGCTGTCAGCGAAAAGGGGTGGTCTGTCTCACGTCTTCCCTATGAGAGGCAGACGCTAGGTGTCAAGTTTGGTTTCTCGGAATGTACGTCCCCCCCGCCCGGCGATATCGACCCGGCTGCGCACACAGGAGATCTGGAGAAAGTCTTGGGTGCGGAATCGCTGACGCCTTGTTTATAGCTGCGCCCGAATTCCGAAACACCAGCCTGGCCCCCATGAGGCGCAGCGACGACGGCGCTGTCAGCCTCGATGCCGCGAGGGTCGCGAACCCGCAAAGAGTTCGCGTGTCTATCGAGAGGGATGGCGTGGTTGTGGGCAGGGCCATGCTGCCCCAGACCCCAGCCCCGGATGCGCCTCTGGAGAGCCGAGTCATGGAAGCACGCAACACCATCTTCCACCAGGAACTGTGGTACGAGATCAATCGCGAGGGTCGTACTCTGCTCTCGTTTGGTGTTCGGCTGGCCGACGGGGCCGTCAGCTACGAGTTGGATAAACACACGAAAGCTGTTATCCGCTTGTGCGACCTGACGGACGACGCGCCGGCTGAGCTTGGCTGGGGGGCTGGCCCAGATGACATGCTCGCTGAAGCCATCAGCAGCGCCCTGCCCTTGCTCCTGTCGTACGCTCACAGGCTGAATCTGCGCGTCCGATCGCAGCCGGGCCCGCCCCAGGTCAGGCAGAGTCGGGCCGGGCAGCCGTACGCCCTCCTCAGGCCTGTGATCGCCTACTTGGAGCACGAGCGCTCTCTTGAAAGGGCAACACGATTCGTGTCGGACCTGACATGGGTCCTGCAGTCGGCAGGCTACCTGTCGGCCTCGTTCACCCTTATCGAACCGCCCGTATCAACGGCGTCGCCGGGGTCATCTCGTCATGCATCCTCATCCGAGGCCCTCCTCCACACATTCCTCAGCCCGCACGAGTTCCAGCTGCAGCTAAGTATTACTCCGGCCGTGCGCCTCTCGGTTATCGGGACCACGCTCTCGGTTATCGGGACCACGCAGCTTTCCGCCCGCCTCTGCACCATGTACTCGACGAGACTCCTGCCGCCTCTTGGGGAGGTGCCTCCAGGGCCGGGCGAGCCACTGCCCCAGCAGAATACGCTCCGCTTCATATACCCGCCGTCAGAAATATACCCTAACCTCCGAGAGGTTACCCACTACATTAGAGGTGCAGTGGCGCGGTTCCTGGCCGATCAGGCCGAGCAGCTTGCCTTCTCAGTCGCGGGGCCGATCGAGGGCGACGCGGAGCAGCGGCTTGACTTTGTCAAGTCCATCGATGGGACAGCCGTATCAGCAGTCGAGCCCGACAAGAGGTCTGTCAGGTTTGAGGTCAACCTAGTTGGTAGCAATGGGGAGGCGGTGGGTGTGGATGAGTATGGTTCTCCGCAGCTGAGGGTCTACGGCGTGTGGCCGCCGTTGAGAGATGGCGAGGAGCTGACGCCTCAGACATGGATATGGACCGTCGAGGAGGCCAAGGGCGGAATCGGGAAAGAGACGGTCGAGGGAGTGTGCATCAGCATCTTCAGGGGCTTGGATTACTAGGTGCAATCCGAGCCCATGCCTATCTAGGCAGGCAGGTAGCGACAAGGCACTTGACTGTTGGCTTGGCTAATGTAAGGAGGCAGCGACCTTGCTGCTGTCTAGGTACCTGGTCTGGTACTAGGTATTTAGGAAGCAAGCATGAAGCGATCAACTGTGAGTGGCGCCTGACCGCGAGTGCCCGGTTTCTCTACCCCTATGACGCGTACGATACCATCATCGTCCTTTACGCTCGACCCTTCCTACTCGTGCTGGCGAGGCAGCTTCCCTGGGCGGCAGGCACCTACCAACCTTGACTACATCTGAGTTTCGACCGAAAAGGCAAACAGGGCAGGGGGATCAAAAATCCTACCACCTGCTTCGGCTTGAACCTAACACTTCCACGATTCAGCCACTTCGGTCGGTAATTTTGGTGAGCATCGTCAGAAACAAACCGGATCTCCATTCGTTCAGATATCCAGAAGGCCTATACATACGCCAAGGCACAACTCGCGAATATCGATACGCTACTCTTGGTCCAATCAATCAGCACGAGCATCTCGTCGATTTATCTCCAGCAAAGCGGAAGATGGCATCGGGCGCTGCAACTGGTCCTGACGAGCAGCCTGCCGCCAGGCCCAAGCCAAAAGCGACAGGTTGCAAACACTCTGCTGGCCCTAGCTCGAGCTGTGGCCACGAGCCCGGCGTTGATGACCAAGATTTCAAGTTCTGGGACGGCCCCAAGGCTGGACCAAAAGTTACCCCAGAGCTTGCCGCCGAGCGACTAGCCCGAAAGGCCGAGCGACTAGCTAGAAAGGCTCGCAGTGGCCGGGCCTCCGCTGCCGCCGCTTCCGCCGCCGCTGCCGATGCCGCTGCCGCAGCCGCCGCCGCAGCCACCGCCGCAGCCGCGGCGCCCGAGACGGGCAGTAGTGGCAGCGGCGGCGAACCCGACACACGCCCCGTGATGCGCTACTGTTGGGGCCAGGTGGTGGGACCCGAGCCGCGCACGTGGCAGGAGCTGCTCGAGGAGGACTACGGCGACATGCGCGCCTTCATGAAGGACCTCGACCTGCCCCGGACCCCCGACGGCGTCGCCGAGGCGGAGGAGAAGCTGCGCCGCTACGCGCGCCGCGAGGCGCGCGAGCTGGAGCGCCTCGCGGACCGGCAGCGCCGCGGCCTCCCCTACATCGAGGGCGGCTACCCGCGCTACGCGAACAGGCCCCGCGAGCTGACGGCGGAGGAGCAGGAATACATCGAGAAGTGGAGGGAGGACAAGCAGGCCGACAAGGAGTACCGCAGCTCGGTGGCGTACATGAAGATGATGCAGCGCCGGTTCAAGGAGAAGTGCGCGAGGAGGCAGGCCGAGATGAAGGCGAACGGGGAGGTCAGCATGGCCGCGCGGCCGCCGCCGCGGCCCAAGACGGCCACGACGGACGCCGAGAAGGCGGCGCTCCGGAAGTCGATTCAGGACAGGCACAAGGTGGCGGCGATGATGGAGGCGATGGAGCGCGGGGAGGCGGGCCCGGCGTCGGCCGAGGACGAGGAGGCCCTCCGGAACTACAATTACGTCCGGAACGGCTACCGCCACGTAACGGCGGCCGAGACAACAAAGACAACAAAGACAACCGAGACAGCCGGGGCATGCGAGTCTGACCTTTCATCTTCTTCATCCGACGAGTCAGACTGGTCATGCCTGGAGGCATACGAGGCAGCCAGGACATCCGGGGATGAGCAAAAGTCATAGGCGATACTCGCGAGCTTTGCGTCCCCCCTCCCGGCGTTGGGTGTCATGTTGCCACGTACGTCCAGCCGCGTATGCTGAACACTGGCTGTTCTGACCAGGCGATGGGTAGAGACTTGCTACCACTAGCGTTCCCGTTCGAAACAGGTGGCAAAGCCGAGCATGTACATATATAGTTTGTTAGTATTATCTGTGTCTCTTCAGCGAGCCCCCAAAAAGAGGGACCCCCCTTTGGTCTAGATAGGTACCTCTAGATACGCTCGCAATGCAGCATCAATAGCAACCTCTACTCTACTCTACTCCCACTCTAGAGCGTGTACTCCCACTCCACGTCCTCCCACCCCTCCCGCTGACGCAGCGTGACCTCGACGTCCCGCCGTGGCTTCCACAGGCCCAGGGGCATCTCGTCCTCCTTGAACGGCGGCACCTCGACCTCGGCCGCCCCGGGCGCCAGCTCCCACGCGCACACGATGGCGGCCGCGACGCCCGTGACCTCGACGTGGGCGAGGTTGCGGCCGGGGCAAAAGACCTCGCCGCCGCCGAAGCCGCGGAACGCGGCCGGGTGCACCCGCTTACTACTGTCCCTACCACCACCACCACCACCACCTTCACCGCTGCTGCCGCTGCTGCTGCTGCCGTCGGTAAAGACGCCGCCGGCGGCGTCGAGAAATCGCCTGGGGTTGTACTCGTCGGCGTCGGCGCCCCAGACGTCGCGGCGGCGGTGCATGACGCTGCCGTCGAGCATGACGAGCGAGCCGGCGCGCAGCAGGTGGCGGCCGCCCAGCAGCACGTCGTCGCGCACCGAGCGCACAGACGACGTCGGCATGGTCAGGCGCAGCATCTCGCGGAACGCAGACGTCAGCAGCGGGCTGCGGTTGCGGAGGCCCGACATGTCGACCTTGGCCTTCTTCTTCTTCTTTTTCACTCCGTCCGCGTCCGCGTCCTCGGCGACGACCGTCACCGTCACGGTCCCGCCGTCGAGCAGCTCGGCCCGCACCTCCTCCAGCAGCCGCCGGTCGGCCAGCAGGCGGGCCAGGGTCCAAAAGGTGCCGAGGGTACTGTTGGGTATCAGGCCGAAGAGCATGCCGACCTCGGCCTTTGCCCAGTCGCGCATCGGGTAGCCGTGCTCCTCGAGGTGGATGCGCGCGCGCTCGCGCAGCAGCCACGACGCCTGCGGCCAGCGGGCGTCGTCGGTGTAGAAGGCGTGCATGGCCTCGGTGAGGCGCGCGCGCGCGCGGTGCGCCCGCGGGTAGAGCAGGGGCGACAGGCGGCCGCCGACGATGCCCATGGCGACGGCGCGGTCCTCGAGGTCCCAAAAGGCGTCGAGCAGGGTCGGGTCGCGCGAAAAGGGCCCGTCGGGCCCCCAGAAGGCCGTCACGCTCGTGCTGGTGATGAGGTCCCGGACCCAGGAGTAGAGCTGCATTGTCACCTCGCCCGTGGTGGTCCCCGTGGTGGTCCCCGTCCCCGACGCCGACGCCGAGAGGCGGCCGAGGTTGGCGGCGGCCCCGGCCATGAGGGCCGAGCTGAGCTCGTCGAGGGCCGGGCCCGCGGGCAGGGAGGCGTACAGGTGGTCGTGGTTCCCCGTCAGGAGGCCCGGCCCGTCCTCGTCGAACATGTTGCGCTCCATGACGGCGTGCGCCTCGTCCGAGAAGAGCAGCATGCGCCGCGCGAACTTGCTGGCAAAGGGCCGGAACGATATGGCCCTCGCCTGCCGGTGCACCGCCGCCGCCAGCGCCGGGCTGGTGATGATGTACTGCCTCGCGCCGGGTAGCGGGAGCGTGTAGATGTCGAAGCCGTACGTGTCCCTGGAGGTAGAGGGGGTATGGTAACGTCAATCTCATGGTGTTCATGTGAGACCGAAGCTTACTTATTCTTGCTTCTCCTTCGGCCACCCACCACCCACTCTTCTTGCTCGGTGGGAACTTACTGAATCACCTGGTAGTACTTCTTCCCGTACCACAGCATGCCGATGATGTGCCCGATCACGGGGATCTTGGTCGGGACCATGGGCGGCTCGCTGGGGTCGAGGTTGACGCGGAGCAGACGCTGCACCACTGCCATGAACACGGCCAGCAGCGACAGGCCGACGACGAGGGCCCGTGTCGGGACCGAGGCATCTTGAAGGGTGTCCATTGCCATCGCCCGTCTCGGCTTTTTTTTTTTTTTTTTTTGGCGCGAGCGATAGATGGAGTGTAGAGTACTACCTGGCAGGTCTCTTCAGTCACTTTATCTGCCGTCAGAAGAACAGTTAATACGAGAACCGTTTGACACGGCGAGCTGAGATGACAGCTGCCACAGCAGATCCTCGGACGCAACTTCGTTGCGGGGTGACCGACAAAACTTAAACTTTGCCTCTAAACTCAAATAGATGAACTAGTCTGTCGACCGTTTTGCGGTCAGAGCCCGGGCCAGTGGCCTTGCCCGAATTGTCCTGAAACGCTAGCATGGTGATAACGCAGCGAGAAATCTCCAAGGCCAATCCCGCTCACTTGTCTTGTGGACATGTGCTATAGAATTAACACCAGGTACAGCCTACCTAGTCTTGACAAAAGTCGCCCCCCTCAGATCTAGTCCAACAGACCTCAACTCCATCCCTCCATACCAAGCTGACCGCAGCCAGTCCATGTTAGCCAGTGACAACCAAACGCCAAATATGCCAAGCCAAGACCAAAGCTATATCCAGGTTTGCGACAGTCGTCAATATCCGGGTTACCCCATCCATCCCTTCACCAAGGTTGACATTTAAGACAGGATATGGAAAATGAACAAGTGAGTTGTTCTGCAAGCACCTGATAAGACGGCCGCCCAGAACAAAATAGAATGCCGACAGAGAAAAAAAGAAAACAGCAGTAGGAAAACAACGGGTGTTGGCAGAACCGAGCAGTCAGGTTCGGCCCGCTTCCGGAAAACCGGCCATCAACGGCGGTCTCCGATACCAAACAGGTACATGAGCTCCTTGGTGCTAAGACGAGCCACGTCCTTGGCATCGCCCTCATTGAGGGCCGCATTGACCAGTGAGCGCTTCTGCTCCTGGAGCGCTGAGATGCGGTCCTCGACAGTCCCCTTGACGAGGATACGGTGGACGTTGACGGTGCGCATCTGACCCATCCGGTGTGCCCGGTCAACCGCCTGCATCTCGATAAAGGGGTTCCAGAAGGGGTCCATGATGATGACCTGCGACGCCGCCGTCAGGTTGAGGCCTGCGTTGCCTGCGCGTAGCGAGACGAGCATGATGGTCGACCGAGGATTGTTCTGAAAACTGAAGGCCGCGCTGTCACGCTGGTCTCGGGTCATGCCTCCATCGTACCGACATACGTGCAGCCCAAGATCCCTCATGATGGCCACTTCCAAGAGGTCGAGCAGCCCAGTCCACACCGAGAACACAAGAGTCTTCTCTCCCCGCTCCTGAATCTCGCTGAGGAGTTGGGTGCAACGGCTGACCTTGGCCGACGAGATCCAGTTGTTGTACAGGTAATTCATGTACTTGTTGCGCGCCGCCTTGTTCCGAGACGCATCTTTGCGGAGTGTCTGTAGCTGGTGCGGCTTGACCTTCTCCTTTCCCTTGCCCTTGCTTCTCTTTTCCGAGTCTGCTTTGGCCTTTCTCTTCGCAGCCGTCTTTGCGTCTCTCCGACGAGCCTTATTCTGAGCTCGCTTGGCCGCAGCACCTGTCGTGACAGCCATGTCGTCGCCCGAACCCTCAACAGCCTTGCCCTTGCCCTTCGATGACGCCGATGCTCCTGCGTAAGGGTCCAGATCCATGTCGTCCGAGTCTTTCTCGTCTTCATCGTCCGAGTCCTTGATGGCAAGCCTCTGCTTGCCTCTAGATGTCGATGGCTTTTCCGCTTTTCGGGGCTCGAGGTCGTCGTCCGAATCGTCGGCCGCCTCATCCTCACCATCCGATATGGCATCATCCGCGACGACAAAATCTCTCAGGTTGCCCTCGTCGTCCGCCTCCTCGTCGTCCGTCTCGCTGTCTTCTCCAGAGTCAGAGTCTGACTCCCAGGGCTGCTTCCACTTGTCGTCGTCCGAAGCGCCATCCGAGTCGCCATCCGAGTCGTCATCTTGCTCGCCAGAGACTTCCTCGGCAGCTGCATTCTCTGGCATGTAGACCTTCTTGAAAGTGCCGTAGTTGACAACCTTTCTGGAGTCGATCCTGCCACGGCACTGGGGACACAAAGTCGATGCAGAGCCGCCCTCGCCGGCCTGAATGTTGTCCTGTTCCGAATTGCTGGCGAGGCGCGAGAGGCATTCGCCGCACAGTTCATGCCCGCAGGGAAACAGGATCTTGGGATCCTGCACCGCATCATAGCAGATAGGGCATTCGAAGGACTCTGCCTCCTTCAGCCTATCGACGACATGTTGTTCAAACATCTTGGCGAGCTCCAACATCTGATCGGCAGACACTCCGCTGTCGACAGTATACTCAACATCAAAGTTGAGATTCGGGTGACAACAGGCCTGGCGCAGACGTAGCAGCAGCACTAGTACGTTGGAATAGTTCTTGCGGAGGGTGCCGGCTCTCATATACTTGTTCACCTGGTTCTGCGAACTTGTCTCGAGGTCGCGGTAGAAAGCCGTCTCGTCGGCAGAAAAGCAGACGTGCACAACTTCCTCAATCTTTGGAGGTAGGTCGAGGATTGGTTTGCCGTTGATCTGCGATGTCTTCTCTCGGCGTAGCATCAGCGCCTGCAGAACAACCTGCAGTTGCTTGAGGGCATTGTTTCGAAGAGATTGTCTCGAATAAGTCGAGTTTCTGCCGCTTGGTTTGAGAGCTCCGAATGCCTGTGGAAGTGATGAGTGTTAGTTGACCTTCTGGGCTAGAAGGGTGCGTTGGAGAACAACAAACCTTGTTGAATAGCTTCTGCTTATCATAGGGGCCAATGCGCAGAAACTGGAACAGAGAGAAGAGCTCATGCGCCCCGTTCATCATCGGGGTCCCTGAGAGACACCACCTGTGCTCTCCCTGCAGAGCATGGACCGCCTTCGCGGCCTGCGTGTTGTGGTTCTTGACGCACTGGGCCTCGTCCAGGATGATGCGCCAGAATCTCGACTTGTTGTGGAGCAATGGGCACTGTTTCTGGAACACCTTGTCGTCTGCGAGCTGTCCCTCGGATTTGTTGCGGTGCGTTTCCCTGTACTTCCCCATGCGCTTGAACTCGGCGGCGATTGTCCCATACGTGGTCAGAACGACATCGTACGTCTTGAGTTTCTCAAAAGGCAGCCGCTTTTGACCATGCAGGAGGAAAACCTGCATCCTGTGGCCGTTTTTCAGCTTGGCTTTGATCTCAGCCTCCCATTGTCTAACCAGGGCAACAGGCCCGATGATAAGGTTGGTTTTGAGGTCTGCTTCCTGGCCGGGGCGAGCAACCATGAGGGACAAGGTCGAGATCGTTTTCCCGAGCCCCATGTCGTCGGCCAGGATGCCTCCCTTCTTCCGCTGGTCTTGTTCCATTCCCATCATCCACTTCAGTGCCAGGCGTTGATGCGGGAAAAGGGGGAATTTGAGAGCCTCCGGTGTATCCTCCTGTTCGCTATCCTGGAGCTCAATGTCCGGGCGGCAGGACTTGAAGAGATTGCGAATCTGTTCCTCCTCTCTCTCGGCATGGCTACCCGCGCCCAGGAAATCTTGCAGGCGGTCATAGAGAGGATTCCCGTTTCCATTCATGACGTTCTCAAAGTCAATGTTATTGGCTCGCCGGGTCAGCTCGTGAAGGGAGATGGGCTGGGGTTCGTCGCTGCTAAGGTCGATGTAGTTGTGGGGGTATGCGCCGGGAATATGCATCGACGGTGTGCCGTAGATGGCCTGGGAGGGAACACAGGCTGGCGCGGGCCTACTCGCCAGCTGGATCGACTCATACGCATACTCCGGGAGCTGGTAGTCTTGATGGGAAGGGACAATGTCCCGGCTATGGAGCACTTCCCAAGGCTGGACCCCGTCCTCAAACTTTGCGACATGATCCTGCTCGTGGAGAGCCTGGCGGTGGCGCAGAATCTGTTGATCGATCTCATCATCGTCCACAGTAAGGTCGATGATGTCGTGATCTGGGGCGCTGCTGTTGTCCGGGAGGGCCTCAAATGGATCAGCGAACCCAGGGGTTTCATCCGAGGTGCGCATGAACTTGGACTGATAGGTTTTTGGTGCAGGCTCGTCTTTGATATGGGTGCCGAACGAGCGCTTGCGGCTACCGGCCCTGCTTTGAGCTTGGTAGACAAGGGATGAATCTGAGCCAGTGCTGGGCGTCGTTGTGTAACTCCCGGGGCCCGGCGTAGAGCCTGGGGAGGTGCCTGCAGGGGGTGCTAGTCAGCAAGGAGCAAGCGGTGATTGCGCCTATATCCATGAGCAATAGGATAGCAGTCGATAAAAGGGCACAGCAAGGAACGTATCAGGCCAACATACCCAGACCAAGACGATGTTGCGCGGCAAGCTTGCGCCTCTGGAAGCTCTGAAGGATGCGGTCGATGTCAGGATGCCGAGGGACTTCAAGCCCCAACAACGAAACAACACGGGTCTCCTCGATAGCGATCAAAAACTTCACGTCGGAATCCATTTCTTCAATGATAGACTCCATGTATTCACGAGAGCCAGCGAGACCGTCGAATTGGGCGCTCTTTTCATTGACAGCCTTTTCCAAAGCCGAGATGATGCTTTGAATCTCTTGCGATGCGGACGCCGATCCGGCATCGCCCGCAGTCCGGCTCGAGGATCCAGGCTCTGCACAGGCGCAGCACTGTTAGCTCCCTCGGGTGCGATCGAGGACGCGGTGGTGCGACAGATGCAAACATACCAATTTTAGGCCCACGCGAGGGCAGTCCGCCGTGCTCAGGCATCATGGCCGTCGCCCAGCTGCTGGGACCTGCCATCTGATGGTCTGGGCTGAGACCCGGCTCTGCTCGAGGAACGAGCTCGTTAGACTTTGTGAAGGATGGGGCGGGATGGGAAGCAAGCAGAAGGTCGGGCGCTGCAGTGAGAAACACACCAGTCTTTGGTTGGTGCCGGCCTGCCGGCTCCGACTTTATCGGAGACTGCCGCGGCGGCATGCGCGGCAGCTGGCGCGACGGGCCGGCTTCCGTCTTGAGCTGGGGGCTCCAGGTTCCAGGCATGCCCCGGGCTTGGCGCTGGGCCTCGGTGTCAAGGAAATCCATCTTGCTCTGGAGGGTGACAAGACGCACCTCGGCGTCGGCCAGCGTCTGCGGATCCGCGCCAGACAGGTCGCCGGACGCTGAGGATTCCATGAGGGATGCGACAATGGCTCGCTGGAGGTCAATCTGGTCCCGCAGCTCGTCGGGCTCGGCGGGAGGGGAGGAGCCGTCGTCCATTATGAGGGCAGGGCACAGGGCAGTGCAGGCAGCGTCAGGCCGCCGTCGGACGATGGGAGAAACCCAGGGCGGGCAGAAGTGCACTTTGTCCGGCACGGGTCGGGCGCAGGTAGTGTTGTGGTGGCGGCTGGGATGACGGGCGCCGTGATTTGTGATTTGATGCTTCACCAAGTCTGCATGCTGCAGTCCAGCCCCAGGATGGCCGTTTGGCTTCTGTGGCGGCGGAAGGCTGGTGCCTAGAACTACTCGCTTCGAGGGCTGCAGTCGTAGCACCCGCGGCCGAGATCGGGAAGGTACGATAGGCAATCAGGTAACCAGAAGTGATTTGGGTTGTGTTGCTTGTGTTGCTTGTGTTGCCTGTGTTGCACGTCGAGTGTTATTGAACGACGTTCGCTGTTTCCCTTTATTGGATCGAGGCAGGCAGCAGTCCTAGGTGGAGGCGACAAGCTGCACACAGCCGATTATGCTTAGCACCAGGCCAACCGGGGCCCTGTTCCGCCTTCTTTTTCTGCTTTTGTTTATCTTTTTTGGCCCGCTCTTTTGTTTTCTCCAAGTTTCAAAAGCTTTTTGAGTTGGGGCTTCCCAATCCCGGAATGGAAAAAGACAAAAAAAAGTGGGTGGCAGGAAAGCCTTGATTGAGGCTGAAATGGCGACCTAGATGCTGAGACTGCCGCCAGTGGCTCCTGTCGGGTATGCCGTCGCCTGACGCAAAGGGAGATTTGGCTCGTTACAGAGGGCCCAAGTTGCCCCGTCGCGCCACGACGCGTAGCACAGTGAGCAACACACTGTTGTGCTGCCCTACCCGGCGGCCCCCAAATGCAATGCATTCCTATCCGCCCTGCGGCCCATCATCGCTGAAGTGCATGCAGGCCAAAGGCTCCACTCTAGTGGATCTACGCAAGGTCCTGGGTGCCCCGCCCCGCCCGTTTTCATTGAGCCTCCTTGCATCCATCTAGTAGTTTGCTCGCAAGGCTGGAACCATGACCAAAACTCGCCCGGCTTTCGAAGGGAAAAGACCGGACCAGCGTGATTTATCCATTTCGTTGTCTTCTTGGCCACACCTTCTGGGCACCGACTGGGCGGGCTGGACAGACACACGGTCACCATCAATCACAGTTGCCTGTCTTTTTCGAGTGGCCAATCCTTGAGCGGGCTCCAACCGCGGCGCTAGACACCCTTGGCCAGATCTGACAAGTTTGTGTGGCTTTTAGCGCATGTCCGGGCGGGGGGGGGGGGGAAGAAGAAAGGGCTTGTTCTGATCCCTGCTGTCGCTCGAATTGTCCTCCCGAATCACAACGCCAAATTCTGGACACCCATTTCCAAAACTTCATATAGGATTTGGGCCGTTCCAAACAATGAAAGCTGCATCAAGCAAGTACAAATCAGCCCTTTGGTTAAACAAGTAAGACCCCCGTAGCAAAATAGTCTAATCCCCACCTCCTGACCCAGTAATCTTGTCCCAAATATGCTCGATCTTGCCCGTTACCCAATCCCACAGCTCCTGGACCTTCTGTCCCGTGGTCTTGTTCTTGTCATCGTCGCCAGCACCCTCGTCCTTGCCTGGAGGAGGTGTCTCCGTAGGTCCTGTTCCAGAGGCCGTGACCGTCACCGTCGACGCAGCAACGACACTCTTGGTTGGTGGCGGCGACGACGACACGCTGGACGGGACGGCCGACGAGGTGGATGCGGCAAACGTGGCTGGATCAGCCGGTTCCTCTATCGGAGACTGTGGGCTGTGAAGACCGACTGGCTTGAGGGGCAGCCTCAGGGTTCCGTTGTTGGACACGGGGGCCAGACCAACAGAGTCGCAGAGGATATTGTACACCTCGATGTTTTCTATCAATCTTTTGTCAGCACGTCACGCAGATGGATGCCGTCGTCCGACGCTAGACCAAACACAGGGCACTTACGAAATGGCTCCACCTTGCTGTTCGGCGGATGCGGGAACGCGGGGCCTCGGGCCATGAAAATTGCCCTCATGAGGGGGTGTTCGTGGTCGTAGCCGTGCAGCCCCCTCGGGCGGTACACCAGGTTATTGGCTACAGCTTCCTTCACGTCGAACTCCTCACGCTTGACCACATTCCAGCCAGTCTTGGGCACGACCCACAGCGGCGCGATTCGGGGGTTCCGCGAGAAATGGTAGCGCTCGGGCATGTCCACATCCCTGAGATAGATGTCCACGTTCGGATTGTCCTTGGTCTTCTGCACAAGCTCGTCGTGGAGGCTCTGCAGATCAGCTGGGTCACGCGGCCGCAAGCCTACCAACGGCCAGCCGTCCACGTGCTCCACCTTGCTCAAGTCCACGATGTCATCGAGCTGGATCAGCCTCGCTGCGTCCGTTGTGGCCATGCCGTGGTCTGACACCACAATGACGTTGACGATACTCGTGAGGTTCCGCTTCTCAAGCCCCTGGAATATCTGGTCGAGCATGTTGTCTACATCCTTGATCGTCTTGCGGATCTCGGTGCTGTTGGGTCCGAAAGTATGCCCGTCTGCGTCGACGTTGGGAACATAGGCTGCGATAAGCTGTGGTCGCATTTCCTCGGGCTTGACGCCTTGGACCTCCGCCCCGGGCATGTCGAGGAACTCAAGGACGCGGTCGACCTTCTTGGGCAACTTTTCGTCTCCATTGAACTTGTCCAGGAAGCTCGGCTCAATGCCCAAGATGTGGGCCTCGCTCCCAGGCCACATGTGGATGGCGGTCCGGATTCCGGCCTTCTCGGCTGTCGCCCAGAAGGGCTCCCCTCCCCACCACTTCGGATCCAGGCTGCGGTTCGGGTCGGTGTAGTAAAACTCGGCCTTGAGCTCCGGGTCCCAGAACGTGTTACCGACCACGCCATGGCTCTCGGGGTAGAGTCCCGTCACAAGGGTATAGTGATTAGGGAAAGTGACGCTGGGGAACGAAGGCCGCATGTACAGGGGCGACACGCCCTCCTGGACGAAGGCGTTCATTCTCGGGGTGAGACCGCGGTTCAGGAAGTCGGCCCTAAACCCGTCGAGGCTGATGATGATTGTTGTGGGCGCGAAGAGCGCTGTCCCGTTGCTCACGTACTGCTGCGTGCGCGATCCCCCATCCTTGAGCGTCAGCTTCAGCGCCACCAGAACTAGGATAGCGATGGCGGTGCCGACGAGCGAGCCAATGAGCGCCCAGCGGCAGCAGCATCTCCTGCGCTTGCTCTTCGTGTCGTCCGCCATGAGCCGGAGGCCGCGGCGGTCGACCTCGTCGCTGTCTTCGCGTTCGCTGCTCTCGCCCGTCGAGCTGCCGTCCCTCACGCCGCCCTCCTCCATCTCGTACATCAGCTCGCCATCCTCGCCGTGCTGCGCCTCGGCGAGGAGTCTGTCCTTCTTCTGTTTCCGCCTCGCCCGCCGCTGCCTCCTCTTGCTGCTCTTTTCCGAAAGCACGGGATCCCCGCCGTCGAAGGCCGACTCCTTGTGCTTCGGCAGCCGGGCGCGGGTGGCGGGGCTGACGGAACGCGACGTGTCGCTGTATTTGCGCAGTAGGTCGAGGGGGTTCGGGATGGTGATGTTGGAGCTGCGGCGGCGCGAGCTGCTTGTCTGGCGGCGGCGCGCGTCGAGCACCAGCTTATCGGTCTCGTCCTCCTCCATAAAGACCATGCGGTCGTGGGCCCTCAGCTCGCGGCTGTTGCGCGCGCGGAGCTGCAGTTGGTCGTCGTCACTATCGGAATCCTGGTCGCTGCGGATCGAGCGGGCATCGGCATCGTATTCGACTGGAGAGAGGAGCGACGAGTTGTCCCGGCCGTCGGCGACCGACGTCGTCAACCGCTGTAGCATAGCGAGTCGGTGGCGGCTGTCGGAGCCGAAAGGGGCATCAAAAGAAAGGGTCGAGCGACAGATAAACGGTACAAGTATGATACTAATGCGAGCTGTGCAATCCTACGCTTTTATAAGGACGGCCATGCATAGAAATGGTCCGATTTATCTTCAAGCCATCAGATCTTGGGGAAAAAAAAGGATGGAGCAGAAGCCGCTGCTGGAGTTGAAGTTGGGTGATTGAAGCGCTAGTTGTCGACGATCGCTGCCCTTAGCCCGTTGGTCAGGGATTAAGGCCCTGTCACTGTGCGCAAGTACATGAGGCCCCGCACAGTGCACCCGTATCTTTGCTGAAACTGCTTTGGCTAAAAACGGAAGCGCCGTCTCCGCGCAGGTCCTCGATCTGACTTTGGGCGACAGATTCTCAACTGCCTCGAGGGCACAGTTGGTACACAGTAACACATCATTATTCTTCTTATAAATAATCTTTTTGACTGCATATCTGTAGACCAAAAAAGGGAAACCCTTTCGATGTGGGATACCTTCATGATCTTCGGTCCAACCATCGCCGGCCAAGACAGTGGTCCAAGTCCCGATAGTGTTCTGGAATTCTGTCTAAAAGGCTCGTGGCTCAAGTCCATGTTGACCAGTCTCTGCAACTTGCAGCAGAGCTGAGCCCTCTCTCCCTAACCTGCCTCTACAAGCATTCGGACACTCCCTAACAAGGTCGATACAGACACAGCTCCCTGAGCGGTATCGTGGAGGCTCTGGTTATCTCGTAGCTAGTCGTAATTTCTAATTCATGTGCTCCCAGTATTCTATATCCTTGAGCAATTATCTACCCTGTATGCAACGCCCGTGTATATGGCTCAGGATGACCACCGACATGTGCCAAAGGAAGACGGCATGCTTTCCCTGATTTGCAGAATGTATAAAAGCAGAGAAGGATATAAGCAGGGAAACGAGCTCAAATAGAGTATGAAATAGTTGCCGGATCCAGGGCCACCCGTTACTTCCTGCCTCTCCTGCCCTTGCCTGCACGCCCACCCTCGCACTTGACGTGGACGATCTCGTGGTGGATCTTGCCCTTTGCTGTGGCCACTATCACGAGTGCGGTGAGCTGGCGGCCGTACACGCATCCCGAGTCGAGCCCAAAGGTCGAGCCTGGCGTGAGCCTGTCCGTTCTGTCGACGGGCGGCACGCTGAGGCCCCGGCGGGCATCATGCCCGTACACCACCGTGACGCGGTCTTGGTCGCGCGACACCTGGTTGCGTTGGTACCGTGCCCAGGCATCGGTCCATTGCTCGCCGTCGCGACCCTCGACCGGCACCGCAACGTCGTCGTGTCCGTCCCGCTCCTTGCCCTTTCTCCGCCGGCTCGCCAGTTCCGCCTCCACCTGATGTGCCGAGACGGCTGACGACGACAACGGGTTGGATGAGGCGGCCACCCCCTTCTTATCGGCCTCCTCGAGCTCCTCCTTGACGCGCTCTTTGCGAGCATCCCGGCCCGGGTATTTGAGGGTGCGCATGTTCATGACGGCCCAGGGGTCTTGCTTCTCGGGAGCGATCCCGGGCACCATGCCGGCGTGCACGACAACGAGGTTCGTGAAGGGCGACTCCCGGATCGTGCCGATGCGCAGTATCACGGGCAGGTCGGCCAGCCAGGCGAGCTGCGCCGGGGTGAGTGAAGCCACAGTGCCGCGGTCCCCCTGGTCGCCGTGCGAAAAGGGGTTCTGCTCCAGCATGTCGGCCTCGATGTCGCTACCGGCAGCTGGTGCCGACCGCGACGCTGACGGCGGCTTTTCAGCAGACGCCTTGGCCGCAGCTGCGCCCCCTTCTCCGAGAAGGGCCGAGTCTGGCGAGATGCCAAAGGCGGCGGGGCCGTCGTTGCCGTCGGTGCCGGGCACTAGACGGGTCTTCATGGCCTGGTGGGCCAGTATGACGCGGTCCTCGTTGTTGCCACGGACGGCACTAGCGCCGAGTGACATGGCCAGCTCAACAACGCCGGCGCTGTCAGGGCCCTTGTTGATCAGGTCTCCAACGATGATCAGGTGGTCGCCACCCTCGCGTTTGAATCCTACCTTCTCGAGGAGGCGCTCAAGTGACGCCTTCATCCCGTGCACATCGCCTACGATAACCAGACGCTTCGGTCGCCCAGAGCCCGCCCCATCGACAGTCCCCGGCTGCGGCACTAGGTCCGACGGCAGGTCGGCCAAGATGTTCTTCAGGTCCTTGAATGGCGGACGGGCGGCGGTGCCATATGACATGGGCACCAGAGGCTTCTGTGCAGGCACATCATTGTTGGACTCGGGCGGCCTCTGGACACTCTCGGCCTCTTGTTGTGGCGGCTTGTCATCGGGACCCGGCGCGGGCTGCCAGGCCACACGGGCAGCATCCCGATCGACAGAGCGCGAGTAGTACAGGTAGAAGGCGAGGAAGGAGGCGACGATGCATACCAGCATGACGGGTCGCCGGCGGCGGATGCCAGCCCCCATGGCGGCCTGCATCTTGGGCGTGTCGTCTGGGCTGGCGCCTCGCCCGCCTCTGTCTCGATTTCGTACGACGGCGGAGTCCGCTATGAGGCGTCGGCCATGCAGGAAGAGGGTGGATCGTTGATCGAGTGTGACGGCCGCAGTTCGCGCCTTAAACAGCGGAGGCCTCGGGCGCCCGAGAAAGCTGGCGAGATATGTAAGTCTCCTGGCCATGATGGGCAACGGCAACGGCAACGGTGATATTAGGAGGGCTGATGATGGTCGGCGGTTTCATATTGTGTGTCACTGTCAGTCGCACGCAGCTGATGCCTGGTATGTGCTCACCTTCGAGGACCAACAGCGAGGCCGCCTTGTTGGCTCAGCGGGGTGGCACCCCAGACGACAACCCCAGTCGCTGAGATGTACTAGGGAGTCAGACGAGCGCGAGCACGTCCAAAGTTACCAACTGGTTGGGCGCGTCAAACTCGCCCCTCACGGAATTTGCGCAGTACGTCGGAACGCGGGGCGGTTGAATCAAGAATTAGAAATAGGCGCAAATGAGCGCGCGCCGGGCTGGGCCTGAGTCGCGTGGGCTTCGCGGGGCGATCGAAACCTTCGCGATACGGTGGAATAAGGAGAGATAGAATGACGACCTCCTTTTGTTATGTTGTCCATTGGCAAAAACGGCCTGCCAAGGAGGCCAAGGTTCTTTTTTGGGAACGATGACGACGGCTCCTCGGCTTGCAGTTTAGTGTGGTGTGGTGAACAGTGATTGCCAGCTGAGCTGTCAGCGGCCTTCAGCTGTCACGGCCAGGGACCGACACTGCCGCCGAGCTGCACAGGACTAAACCATTGGATGGGCTGATTTGATTGTCCAATTGCTTGGGGCGTCGACCGAAAGGCTATAGCTCGGCGCCAGCTATTGGGAATGTTCAATTGACGGGAGAAGCTTCCGAGCCACAAGCAGAGGCGAGTGTGACGGCGGAGCCTTGCCATGTGGTGTCATATCCACTCCTACGCTCCTCCGCTAGCGTCTGCTGTGTGCCGGGAGCCGTGAACATTGGCGGCCCTGTTGTGTCGGCTTACCTTGTCGTCCGTCCGTCCTACGGGTCTCGGGAACCTCATGAACCGATGCGCGAAGCCAAACCAGAGTCGAGAGGAGTCACTGCAATAGATACCAAATTGGCCAAGTTACAGGTACTTTGAGCCCCCAAAGCCGATTCCCAGAACGCCCCCAACGCCGGTGCAAATGCCCAAGTCATCATATGTGGCCTGGCCTGCTTTGGCACAGATATGATAAGAGATGCTGCCGGTGGCAGGCGAATTATATAGAATGGTGCTGGCCGCTGTCATGCCTTCTTGCTCTGGCCGTCCTTCTGCTGCAGCTTTTCGAGCTGCTGCCTGTACTTGCGGTTCTCGGCCTCCCTCCAATCCTCGGGCTCCTTTTCGTTGCCGCTTGTCTCCTTGCCATTGGCGCCGGCGAAGGCGCTCTTACCGGCGTAGAGCTGGTACCCCTTGCCGGCTTCTTCCGTATCTTCGAGCGTCTTGAACGTGACGGGCTGGTTCCCGCGGAAGCGCAGGCGCATGTCGATCATGCCACGGCGGCAGTCGCCGAACCCCTTCTTGAGCTGCTGGCACTTTGTCGGCAGCGTCTCGGCCAGCGGGGAGCGCAGGCAATCGGCCGCCGTATGCCGCTGTACCATGATGCAGTCCGACTCTTGCAGGCACTGCGCCAGCGCGGCTCCTGTGAGGGGGAAAGCAGGTGCTTTTGTTAGTTTGGAGGTAACTCGCGGAGCACCACCACCTCATGGGGAGGACGACGCACTTATTTCCTTGCACGAGCTCGGCATTCTCAAAGTTCTTCTGGGTGATGGGCGGATCGACCGCAGTCCTTGGGCCTGTCTTTCACCGTCACAAAACAGAAGCTGGCCAAATCATCAGATGCGAAAAGCCCAGCATCCGCAACCAGGCCCGTTTGGATGACAGTGGATCGGTGGGCCAATCGAAGCTCGCCAAATTCTGCGCGACATCATTGGCGGCGCCATCATTTGGTCACGCCCCACTAATGCGCTCCAAGAACTGCATCCTGACACATTGAGATGATTAGGACTGGCCCTCTGGAATCCCGCTTGAATTGAAGAAGTCACACCTGGATGCTTCAGGAGAAGGCACTCCTGCCTATATGCTTTACATCAAACGGCGACAAGAACATTAAGCTGTCGTCGTGGTAATGAGTGAGCGTGTGAACCCGGCTCTGCTCGCCATTAATATTAAGCCTGCATAAACATCAAGCATGTTGCACCCGCTGATACCGCTACTCTTGGCACACATGTGCCTGAATCTTGTGATCCAACATTAGATATGAGGGCGCAGCGGTTGGTGGCTGGCCGGCAGAGTCCTGATGGTCGCCTGGAGAAACCCAGCCCTACCCACAACGAAGGCGATTGGCAGATGTGGATGGTTTTGCCCTCGTATATGTTGATCTATCCATCGGCTCGTAGGGATCGCGCATCGAAGCGGACCAGGCCTGTTCGATGCGACAGAGATTGGCCAACGTCAGCTCAGTGGCTAATCCCGACTATCTTGATGTCTTCGAGGTGGACCTTCAATAGCTCGAGACTATGCGCAACGCAGCCACCCCCAAGCTAGTCATCACGGAGAACTGTTTCTATACTATCACGAGGTCAGGGGCACTACGAGGCCCACGATAGCCCGTACTAAGCCTTGTATATACTTGCTCACAAGTTCGAGCTACTTGCCTTCTACATTGTTCAGTTGAGTGCACGCGAGCTCAAGACTGAGGAGGAAAGAAGCCGGCCATCCTTTACCTGTTCATGGTAGAAGCCAAGCCAGGGATGAAATACGAAATAGGAAACGAAATGGAAGAAAGAGAATAAGGAAATCGGAAAGCAGGCCGAGATTCACGATGGTGGATTGGAAGTGGAGCTCTGGTCAGGGGTTGTGCTTGGCGATTGGTCTTGGGTCGAGACGAGCCCAAGGATAGAAATTTATCAGAGGCGGCCTCAATCAGACACGGTGCTTCTGCCTCCCAAACTCTCCTGGCCGCTTGGGCGTTGGGTTTGATGGCCAGATCGTAAGGGACGGGCCTGCCCGATGAGGCGTGGATGCTTAGGTAGGAAACACCTCGGGTGGTACCTCGATAAGCCCGGTCTGGTAGCTTTGGGCTGCTGCACTGCTGGCAATTTCCCCTGTGCCACATTTGAAGGTATTTTGCATGTGACCTGACATCACCCCCCTGAACACCTCCAGAATACATGGATGACCTCAATCACGCTACCCACTTCTACTTTCGGGCTACTCCAGATCCCCTTTGTGTTCTTTGCTGAGTGTGAGGGCTGCCGAGTTCCTTTCCAGAAACGCCCTTCTTTCCTACACGCCATCACGTCGAGATTGTTGCAACTACTGCCTTCGTTTCTCACCTAATCTTATCTTCACATCCTGCTGGGCGGGCCTGGCTGCGAGCGTGGAATGGGCGTCACGCCCACACGATCTCGACAATGCCAGTTCCTTTCTTGGGGCGGCTGAACGTGTTAGTTAACGTCCTCCTAATGCATGGAACCTGACAGCCTGCCCTGGCTTCAGCTGCCACATCCCCAACCCACGGCGAACTCGGCATGGCTGACAATTGCCCAACGGCCGTTTTAGTACCGAATATGTCGCCCTCGTTGGTTCCTTCATTCTCGTCGGCTTCGAGGCCATCGTTCGAGTCCTGACCCTCGCCCTTCGTATGTCGCTACATAACCACCCCTCACGAGAAGGGGCATGGATGCTTTGGCGTCCTCCTTTGTGCGCCGGGCAGCTGCTAACTTGCGGTTCAATCGCCGGGCAACAGCAACCTCCATCATCTCGCTCTTTTACCGAGCATCCCGCCGCTTATTCAACTCACTGTCCTCTCCCGCCCAGAAAAGAGCTGAGGAGAGAAGGGCGCGTATGTGGACACTTGCCCAGCTTTATCCTCATTCAGAGCCCCCCTATAGGCTTGATACCCACCGACTGACCAAAACCCCTGGATCGCGCCCATATTGCAGCCATCTCAACCTCGATCCGCGATGCCTCGGACTTTGTCGAACTCTGCGCAATTGCTGGCTATACGGCCGAGGAGCACGTCGTGCAGACCAAAGATGGGTACCTTCTCGGTGTCCACCGCCTCGCCTGGAGGAAAGGGGAGGAAGACCGACGGGTCAACGACGGCCCGAACAGCATTCCCAAGCCTGTCGTCTATCTCCACCACGGCCTTATGATGAATAGCGAGGTCTGGGTGTGCCAGACCGACGCGCAGCGATCGCTTCCCTTTGTGCTTGTGGACAGGGGTTTCGATGTCTGGGTACGTGCAGCGCAAGCAAGATGATGGGCCATGGTGTGAATGGACTCGTTGCTGACATACTACAACGTCGCGCGCAGGTTGGCAACAACCGTGGAAACAAGTACTCCAAGAAGAGCATCCACTGCGGCCCGAACTCGACGCAATTCTGGAACTTCTCTATCGACGAGTTTGCCTTTTACGATATCCCTGACAGCATCGCCTACATCCTCGAGACTACCAGACAGCCTTCGCTCTCGTACATCGGCTTCTCTCAGGGAACTGCTCAGGCGTTCGCCAGCTTGGCCGTGCACCCCAAGCTGAACCAGCAGATCAACGTCTTCATCGCCCTGGCCCCTGCCATGTCGCCCGCAGGCCTGTCTAACGGAATCGTGGACGCTCTCATCAAGGCATCCCCGTCGGTCCTGTTCCTTCTGTTTGGCCGACGCTCCATACTCAGTTCCGCGACCATGTGGGAGTCGATCCTTTACCCACCCATTTTCATCCGCCTCATCGATATGGGCCTCACGTTCCTCTTTGGCTGGCGCGCGCGCAACATGTCGACTAGCCAGAAACTCGCCGCGTACCCTCACCTGTACTCGTACACCAGCACCAAGTCGGTGGTACACTGGTTCCAGATCATCCGCACCAAGAGCTTCCAGATGTACGATGACGACGTCCACCCGCCCTTGTCTCTTAGTAGGAGCTCAAAGTTCACCAAGGTGGCCCGGTACCCGACGCGCAACATTAAAACCCCTATCGTCCTGGTCTATGGCGGCTCGGACTCGCTTGTCGATATCCGTGTCATGCTGCGCGAGCTCCCGCCGCAGACGGTAGCCACCGAGATCCCGCACTACGAGCACCTCGACTTCCTCTGGGCGCGCGATGTGGACAGCCAGGTCTTCATGCATGTTTTTGACGCCCTCGAGAGCTTCAAGGGTGTGGAGCACACGACCGAAGAGTACAGCCGCTTCCGCTCAGCCCGCTCGACAAGCATCGGCGCCAGCGGCTCCCTCCGCCGACACACGTATCGCGACAGCGAGGACATGCCACTCGCCACCGTTAGGGTGCTCGCCGAGTTTGCAGAGGAGCAGGAAGGGACGACGGAGGCCGAGAGCGACTCTGGCGCCACTCTTGTCAATGGACGCCCCGGCCCGGTGAGGCCGAGGCTGCAGCACCAGGCTACGGAAGGACTGCGGGACCCGGACAGCAGGTCAGTGTCACACGAGCCTGGTAATTGCGCCGCCGAGCCTCTCGAGCCTGTGTCGCCACGGCCATGCACTCCACAGGGTCAGGTGGAGGGAGCTGCAGCGGGGACGCCCGAGGGCGAGGCCCTGAGCTCCCCGGTGCGAGTATCCGGCGGCAGTCTTCAGTCCAGGAGCGGGACAAAGCATGGGACATCGCGCACGTCTAGCAACGTGAGCTTTAACGACAAGCGCGGGATTCAGCTCGGGGTCGGGCGAGCCATCGGAGGTGTCGTCACGGCCGCCGTCGCCGGCGCGGAGCCCGGAAATGTCAGCAGCGGGACCGACTAGAAGACGAGCCCGGGGCGACTGAGGCTGGCGCCAAGGGCCTTGCGACAGCCATCAACACCTGCATCACAATCTCCCTCTTCGGCTCAGACTACTCCTTCACGCCGGCCTTAGGGCTGGGAAGGTCTCCCACCTGCAGAGGTTGTATGCGATTTCCAAGTTGCTCGAAACCGCCCGACCTGTCGCGGTACTCCATTTTGGGAGTAATGGGGGATTGCATACATGTTTACGAATGCGTTTCTGCACCGGTGGCTGTTTGGGCTGTTTTTGTTTCTTCTCCCTCTCACTTATAACCTATAACTATCTGGTCCAGGTCCGCTCCATCCGTTCAAGGCAACATTCATGGCCGTCTTAACAGCTCACACATTGGCCTACTGTTTCTTTCTGTCAGTTGACTCTGTCCCGATATGTCCCTCGTTTCTTGCGGGCAGTGTGGTCCTTGAACACACGGTCCAATCAGGACGTGGTCTTTATGCGTGTGGCTCTCGGAATTACCTCCACTTATGTTCAGAATGCCGCTAGCAAGTATATACCAATCTTTAATATGGCAACATATGTCTATAAAATGCGGAACGACGTGCCAGTCTGGCTTTCGACTTGGGTACTCTCACGCGTTGGGTCCGTGTCCCTGTGTCTCGTTAGAGCTTTCTACCCTTGTTGTCGTTGACTACTAAAAGTCTGCACGGATACTATGCCGACGATATCCGCGCCGAGGTCACCATCTTCCCCAGGAGGAGCGAAGAAAGAATACATAGATGACTAAAAATGAATCGAATGTAATGCGAGATCAACAGGTGGACTGAAAATCTGGTTGACCAGGCCGGCTGGAACAACAAATTCCCGCAGCTGACGGAGAATTACAGGACAAGGTGATTATTTGACATGGCAAGCGTCTAGACGCAGGATGGTCGGCTGAGCTTGTCATGGGAACGAGACGAAGCTGACAGAAGGCATGGATACTGCTCCGATATACGGAAGGAAGATGGGATACAAGACAAAAATTTTGAGACCAGTCGGGGATACGCGCGTCGGTGTCCGTTCCAGGATATCTCCAGGCTCTCCGGGGCCGGCCGGGAGGGTGTAAATTTTTTTCCTAGTCGTCGTTGACTAGCCGCCAATCGGCCGATGTAAGTCCGACCTGACCCTTTCCCTAGCAACCTCTAAAACACCTGGTCATACACAAAAGAGAGGGCCGAGCCCGGCATGCAACCATCAGCCGCCTTCTAGAACAAAAAAGGAGAAGGCGAGACATGCGCTACGATGGGGGGAAAAAGACGCAGCTGATAAAAGGGGGATGAATGTACAGCCGCAGCCACGATGAGAAGAAAGAAGTTCATGCGCCCGCCGACAGTACTGCCGCATCGGGACTGTTGCCCGGGGTGTTGGGAGCGGGAAAAGGGGGAAAAGAAACAACGGCGCGGGACATTGACCGGAAATGCTCGGTGCGAATGGGGCGCAGGAAAGAAAAATCTGCAGCCGCGCCAGATCCAGAACCCACGTGGCCGAGGGAGGGGGAGCAGGGAGTGCACAGCGTTAGCGCGACAACGGCAGCGGAATTTTGGGGGCACAGGGGGTGGGTGGTTGCGCCCAGCCCTGCGGATTCACCGGACTCGGCCGAAGGCAGGGGGGGAGAGGTAACACTGGAAACAAAGGAGGAGCCCTAGTAATCGAAAACGAGCACTTTTCGGCAAGCACGCAAGAATCTGCCACACCAACACAAAAACTCAAAAACGAGCCCAGATGGCGAGTGTCGACCGAGACAAACCCGACGGTGAGGCCGGGAAACCCGCATCTCCGGCCGCCAAGTTCTATTGCAGAACGCGCATCTCCTGCAGCAAGCAGTTGGGTTGCTTCTAGATTCTATTTGCCGTTCCATTCGCTTGGCACCAAGAATTTATTTTATTTTGTTTGGGGCTGACGGCCGTCGTCGGAAGTCACAATTAGCTCCGCGAAGAAGTGGCGGCTGAGAACAAAAAAAAAAAGCCGGCACTTTGTTTTCAAAGTTCCCTCGAATCCAACGTCAACCTCGCATTTCGGATGCTATTTGTAAACCGTCCATTTGTAGATCTCGCAATAATCTTCCCAAATGCTCCGTCTCACTCCTCTGCCGGCGCCTTTCCCAGAACGGGTGCTCTGCTCGGTTTCAGGTCTGGTATTCTCCATCCTGGGCTGCCCGTTAGACGGGTGTACGAACATGAACATGGGAGCCTCTCAGCTCGATGCCCGTGCTGGTTGTCAAAGCGCGATCGATGGGGGCCCTGCCTACCACCCCGGCGCCGGCATGATTGACGACGGGTAGGAGCTTGAGACAAAATAAAGAAACAAGAGAGATCTCAGCCTTGTTTCCTCCCTTCCCCTTCCCGCTTCTGTTTTTCGCTCAGTCTTTTCTCTTCTCTCTCAGCACGTTGCATCCGGCCCCACCGACAGGCGTCTTGCACCCCATCGTTCCGACGACGCGACGACGCGAGGTGGGGTGGGGGATGCAAGAAAGTGCAGGGTGTGGGATAAGAATAAACCAGAGAGAGGGAGAGAGCGCGGGAGGCAGGGAAAAAACCGGGGGAGCCGGAGGACCGGCTGGATTGTCACACTGGACCCTTCGTTGGACCAGAACGACCAAGCCCCCAGCCCTGGACCGGCGGTCCCTGCATCCCCCATCTCCTGGCAGGGCAAGGAAAAATGTGGGCCGACGACGGCTCTTCATGCAGGCTCATGCAGGTCTTGGGGCTTGCTGCCCGCATTTGGAGGGGGGGGGGGGGGGACGGACAACATGGCAGCACAAAAGCCACACGCCACCAGAACCGCGCTTGTCGGCGATAAGGGGATGACCACTTACCCGCCGCCAGCCGAGGGGCCCGTATTCCCGCTTTGTATGCGAGAAATTGAGAGAGTCTGTAATCAAGATTTCCAACAACCATGCATGCATCGCAGCAGCAAATTTTTTCTCTCCCCCGTCTGGGCTGCATGTTCTAGGTTCTTCTAGCGGCCTCCCCATTAGCAAGAGTTGACAAAGAATAGCAAATATCTATATTCGAATACTCATCCATCGTTGACAACTCAGCCACATATTTCAGATGGCTAATCCCAGCCGCGCACGTAACCATCGGCACCGCAGTGCAATTGAGCCGATATTTGCCATGGGACTTTCGTTAACCCGCCGGCTCCCGTCCTGTTTGTTGCCATGCACACGTGATAGCATTTCAATCCTTGAGCAAAAGGGGTCAGCTGATCACATGATCACGAGGCCCATCGCTCTCCCGCAACTCTCTCATCTGCTTTTAGTCACGCCATCAAATGCATTCGAGAGAGAGAGAGAGAAAATTACAATGCAAGGACAAGCGCGCGATATGACATGACAAAGCGGGCGCATATGGTTCGACGCATTCCGTCCCCCGCAAACCACTTTTTAGGGTAGGCAGGTGTGGGTGGTATCGAAAAAGTCTCTGTCACGCCGCCATGCAAAGTTGGGTGCTTTGTCGAAGTGGACGGGACAGGGGGTACTGGGGGTGGTGATGCGGCCTTTGTACTGCCCACGTCGTCTTTGACATCTCTTGACTCACATCTTGTAGCAAGGCCGCCATCTCGATCTCTCTGCCTTCTGCCTGTCTGCACTGCACTGTACGGTATGGCGTGTTCCCCTGGCGTGGGTGCGGTGGAGCGTCCTACCTAGATGACATGTCGGTATGTGCCAACCACGCCGAGGTATATGCCTAATCCTAATGACGGAGGACATGGAATCCAGTTGGGTAATATATCATCCACAAAAGTTTAACATTTATCTGGTCGAGTCCAACGATGCGGCATGCACAGCGCGGCTGTCAGCGTGTAAACGTCAATCCGAACCCCGGACTAAGAATTACAGGATTAGAACAGCAGACAGGCGTGTGCCCGACTGATCTGCGCATGGTCCCAGGGGACGCAGCACCGTGCGCGCGTTAAAAATACGTATTTTGGGCCCCTCCCCGCCCAGTCGGCATCGCGGACAGCCCGAAAAAAGAACAGCCAACCCCGTTGCAGGCGACAGGGATGGGCACAAGGGAAAACACACACATAGCCACAGCATTTTGCGGGGAACCGACTCGTGGCTTCAGCTTTCCCCGTCGCCACCCGACCGCCTCAAGGGGACGCATTGAAAGTAAGGCGACGAGCGAGGAATGTGCGAGGTAAACGAAACATGGCTGCGACTGGTCAGATTGGGGGTATAGAGGGGCTTCGGTTGGACAGCTCGACCTTGGCTTGCCTGGATCTGGCCCCCTCAAAGGTGGCTTGAGCAAAGCCACAAGGGTCCTGCTTGACGGTCACTGACGGTTCAATAGCCCGCGGGCTTGTTGAAATGGATGGATCGACATGGAGATGGACCACGGCAGCTGAGCACGGGAGGAGGAGGAGGAGGTAGCCGGCCAGAAGCGAGGAAGAGGCCGACACGTTGCATGGGGGAAGGAGGAGTTGGGTCTCGTGTCCCAGCAGCCGGCCTGTTTTGCTGGCCTGTTTTGCTGGCCTGGGCTCCGGCTTGTCGGCGTTGAGGCCTCGGCAGCAAAAGGTCTTGCTGCTGTTCGACCTTTTTTTTTTTGTTGGGCATCTTGGCTCCTTCCCCCCTAATCTGATCTGACTCCTCGGGGAGAAACAGAACACGAGTGTGCAAACGTGGTCGACCGGCTGGTACCTGCGTGGAGGAGGACACGACATACCTAGATCGTGCTCCCAGCGTTGTCAATCGTGGCGGTGCAGATGTGCTCCAGCTGGGATTGCTGGGATTGCCGGGCCAAGCCGGCTGGCCAGGCCCAAGGGTCTGGCTGATAATGCAGTTGCTCGTGCGCTTGTGCCTGCACGCTTCCTGCGATTGATCAATCAGCAGTGCGAGCCACCCTTTTGGGCATCCGCCACGTTTGCTACAGCAGAATTTTCCTCTCACTCGCTTTCTTTTTTCTCACCTACCCGCATTATTCCAAGCACTAGCTGCTAGAATAGAACGCTCCAGAACAAGCTGCTGGCTTCGCCACATGTCCATTATTATTCGTATCAAGATGTGCTCGAATACGGTCCGAAAGCCCATTTCGAGGCCGCTCGCTACCTGACGGGCGGGATGCCCCAGATGGGATACCCAAGATAGCATACCGAAGAAAGTATCCCGAAGATAGTCGACAGAGCGGAGTGGACCATTTGGATTGCTCCCTTGCTCTTCTGTCGTCTCTCCCCCACATGAACACATGAACTAAACTTATGACAAAATGGGCATCGTGGCCAAGAGCAAAGAGCTAAAAGGCATGATCGTGGTGGGCAGTTTTGGCACCCACCCCCCGAAAATTACCAAAATAGGATAAAAAGCATGGCCGGGGAGAGAGCCCCGGGATCGGTGCCTTGTGACGTCGATTGGGAGGGATGGTTTTTATTCATTTTTATCTAACTTTATTCCTCTCTCTATTCTTTTTAAGGAAATCAATCGGGGAATGGCATGGTGCTCGGAAAAAAGCACTCCCTCCAGGGGATGCCCTGCAGGCCGAAGCAACCCACAGCTGGACATGGTCTGTATGTCGCACACGCTCAGCCCGAACGAAGCGGCACAGCGTGCCACGGGAAAATGGACATGTGAGTGATTTGGGACCAAAGCAAGACCGCCCAAATTCCAAAGCAGGCCCGGCCGGCTGGGCAGGCTTCCGATCGAGCCCTGAGTCTGAGCCGACATGACTGAAGATTGAGGCAGCCAACAACTGGTGTGTGAGTGGCTGGGTTCGCCGGTGGTACGTAGGTACATGCCGCGGCTGCCATGTCCAGCGCTCGTGCTACTGCTGGAATCTTCCCTTGCCCTGTCTTTGACTCAGGGCCCCATCCAAGGAGAGCGCAGCTGACAAACCTTGCTAGGCGTCGGTCTAAATCCATACACCACACCCCCCCACCCCTCCCGCTTGTTGCACAAAGGCCGACGAGTGTGGGGCCACTACGCTTCGATCCCTGCACCACCCTAGACCCCGAGAATTCGGTGCCTCACCCCCCTGCGAATACGTCATATGCAACTGCAACCCGCACCTCCATTGTGGGCTTGCCAACCAGGGCGGTTGAAAGGAGGACGGTATTTATTACATAGATGCCGTCCTCCGGCCCCGTTGTCCGATCTGAACCTCCCTTTTTCGCCACCTAGTTCCCAAGATTCAAATCTTACAAAAACAAACATGTTGTTGACGAGACCTTTGAACCATCATCACTTCCAGCAACACCAGCAGCCGCTTGACCAGCTCAACCACAGCGGCCTCAACGTCAACGACCACGCCACTCCCAACAGCAGCATATACTACAACCAACACGGCAGCGACCTCTTCCCGTCGGTCAACAATCTCGACCTTGACCTGTCCGGCTACGACGCGGCCCTCGACGCCGACTCGCCGCCTCCTTTGACGAGGAGCACCGACGACGGGATGCACGACGCCTCCAGCTGGCTGCCACAGCAAACAAAGCCTGCCAGCCGCTACTCGCAGCCCATATCCCACCACCGCGACTCGTCCCTGGGCTCCTTCTCGGCCTCTGGCACCGTCTCGGGCCCTGCCTCGCCCGCGTCGCCCGCCTTCACCAACTACACGCCGACGCCGCAGATCGCAGTGACGGACGATGGACACTCGATGGCCGCGCACGGCGCCGTCAGCGACTACTACCAGCTGGCAAAGCCCTTTGGCTCGGGCCACGACACCTTCTACCCCAGCTACCCGACGTACCAGCACCAGCCGGACACGAGCGCACAATACTCGAACCTGCTGGCCGCCGCGCAGCTCTCAAAACCCAGAAACTCCCAGCCGGGGCTCCTGCCACCACCGGAGCTGTCGGCGTCGTCCTCACGGTCGCGCCCAGTGTCGGTGGCGAGTTCGGTCGTCTCGGCTGACTCACCGGCCACGCCAGCCCCGGGGGAGCCTGAAGAGAGGAGAAGCAAGAATGGTAAGCTGCTCGGATTAGTCGGTGGCGACTTCTGGGACTCCGCGGCGGAGGCCTCTCATTCCTACCTCTCCCCTCCGCTCGACTCACCGTGCTCACACTACTTTGTCGACGCAGTCGGGCTCAGCAGCGCGCCCAAGTTCGAGAGGACGATAACGGACGTGTTCAACGACGAGCTGTTCCATCCCGTAAACTTCACCATGGAGGCATCCTCGCCGTCGCAGGCCCAGTCTCCGCCGCAGGCAGCCTCGCCCACAAGCGAGCTCTTCGCACGGACGCTCCATGCCGCAAACAGTCAGCACATGTCGCCAGGAACGGGCGGCGTGTCGCGCGACCGGTCCCCCTTCAGGAACGGCTCACCACTGGCACCGGCCCCACTACACGACTTTGGGACCATGACCCAGCAGCCCCAGCCGCAGCAGCAGCCCCAACAACAACAACAACAACAGCAGCAGCAGCAGCAGCAGCAACAGCAAATATTAATGGGCTTCAACACAGCCCAGCAGATGCGCGAGCATGTCAAGGCCGATCATGACGCCGAGGCTATGCGGCAGCAAATGCAGGGGCCTGTTCACTCGCGGGCCACCCCGGTGACCGTTTCCCCAAAGGACGTGGCGCTCGACTTCCCCGAGGCGGACAGCGACGTCAACAACTTCCCGTTGTTCCCCCAGCCCTCTGCTTCAACCAGCGGCTTCTCTGCCGCCGAGGAGCAGATCAGCAAGGCGGTGGCAGCCATAGGGAACGGGATCCCGCTCGACTTCTACAGCCAAATACCACAACAGTATCCCTTTGTGGCCGTTGGGCAGGTGCCGATGCAGCAGCAGCAGCAGCAGCAGCAGCACGGCGCGGGCTCGATGACGCCCTTGAGGCAAGATCTGGCACGGGCGACGTCGTCGGCGCCCAGCCAAACTAGCAGCAGCATCGGGCAGCAGCAACAACAGCAGCATCACCACCACCACCAGCAGCACAGCCACAGCCACAGCCCCATGGTCAACAGCCCGCAACGGCCGGCAAACACCAGGGCGGACGGTGGCACCTACTCGTGTACATACCACGGGTGCACCCTGCGCTTCGAGACGCCGGCGCTGCTGCAGAAGCACAAGCGCGAGGGCCACCGGCAGGGGCTGGGCGCCAGCGGACGCAAGCCCGACGGCGGCGACATGGCCGTGATGGGCCAGCAAGGCATGACGTCGAGCCTGCTCAACACTCAGCAGGGCCCGCACCGCTGCGACAGGATAAACCCGTCGACCAACAAGCCGTGCGCCACCATCTTCTCGCGGCCGTACGACCTAACCAGGCACGAGGACACGATACACAACGGGCGCAAGCAGAAGGTGCGGTGCCAGATCTGTACGGGCGAGGAGAAGACGTTTAGCCGCGCCGACGCGCTGACACGGCACTACCGAGTCGTTCACCCAGACCTGGAGGTGCCGGGCAAGCACCGGCGGAGGGCCATGGCCAGCCAGCACCACTGAGCCCCAAGCTGAGGGACGATGACGAGGACGAGGACGAGCATCACGTGAGGGTGTGGGCAAAAGGGGGGGTTTACGAGCTTGCCAAGCTCTTAGCTCCCAGTTGCCAAGCTACAAGCCACCCCACGCAACCCAAGGAGCAACCAGCAATTACCTTTTAATGAGGAGGATAGAGCGAGAGCCGGCAGCCCGCTGCGGCAGCACTCAATCAATTCGAGGGGTCGGGGGGTGTGGCCGTCTCGGAGGCCCAGGGCTCTAATGACGTCTTGCTTGTGCACGCTAGCCAAGAAGCTGCTTCCCGCTTTTTAATTGGACGCACCAACATTTCTGTGGGACTCAGGGTCTGGGGTCTATTTTTTTTTTCAGGGTCCTCCTGCCGTCCCTCTGCGGCGCAGTGACGTCAGGCGGCATTTGAGCCCTGGCCCACGCGCCCCACCACAGCATCACCACCACCCCAAACCCCAGCAGACACACGACCCCCGATGGCCTCAGCAGTTGGATGATGCGACCGATCAGAACCATGATTCGGCGGGGAGGAGGGGGGGGTGGGAACCCTTACGAGCACGAGCAGCGAACCCGTTTCCGTTCCTCGTTCGCTCCTCAGCCCCGTCCCAGTTTTTGGCTTTCTCGGGGATGCCGGCTCGCGACCCCGCGCTGCCAGACCCCCCCCCCCTGCCTATTTTTTTTTATTATTCCCGACAAGTTCAGGGTCCAGCTTCTCTCCCTCTCCCAAACCCCGTTTTCTGCAACCATTTGGGATCTCAGAACAGGGCGGAGAGGGGGCGGGCCTTGTCGACGGATCATCGAGCGCCAACCAAATCACACAGGGAAGGAGGGGGGGCATGGCCATCGCATCGGATGGGGAGCAGCCCTGCCGATCGGGCACCAAAAAAAAGCAACACCCACACACCATCACAGCATCATCACGCACACACCCCGCTCCCCTCCTCCCCGCACCGCGCGAAAAAAATCTTATCTTCTTACGACGTACATATATTACCCCCTTGTATCGGGGACCCGCACTCCTATCGAACCATATTTCCCGTCACGACAATGCACCACCCAAAAAACCAGCCCAGCACCCAACTTACGTCATAGGGTTGTCTGGGCTGTGTACACTAGTCCATTTTTTGCACGGTCCTCTTTCATCTTCCTCTAATCTCTCCTGCCCTTCTCCTTTGTTGTTTGGTCACGGATAGACTGTCGGTATAGGGAAATCTGGGAGGGTCGGTTCGTTCTTTTTTTCATTTTTCATGCAAGTTGCAACAGCAAGCGGTTTGGCTTATCTGGTTTTTGATTGATATTTTTTGG